ATCTGATAGCGCTGAATGGAGTCCTAGTTCTTCGAGGAAGTGCCCGAAAGGAACGGGCCGACTGCATTACGCTCCGTTATATAACGGTTTCTTTCGTATAAAGCATTGACATTCTTATTGTTGGGTGATATTGAAACTCTATTATTGTTTATGAACCTCGTCCCTTTTTGTCGATTAGAAAACACGTTTCAAATTATAGTTAAAATGTCATGGGCGTAAAATCTATTGCAATTTTAAGTGTATACGCGAGTATTGTTTGTAATTATCTAAATTAGATAATACCCATATGGGTACCGCTCCGATATCTATATATTGAGAAGTACCTCTAAATATCGATGGCGGTAAAAAAATATCACCTATTTCGATATGGCTGACACCATTCGGATATCTGTATTAATTTCAATCGGGTTCTTTATTTCGATACTATATTATGTATAACGTTATTAAACCAATATATAAATATTGTATTTACCATAGATACTGCTATATATTACACATCTCTAAATAGATACAGAATTGGGTAAGAAGTTGCCGTTTTAAAGTTGCTTAAAAATAATAATTTAAATTCGTGTTTCTTTGAAAAAAAAAATTATATGGCATCTATGCAACCATCTATAAGCAACATTAAAAATTTATACGTATTATTAGTCAATGTCAGTGATGTTCACCCATCTGTATTTTTTTATACAACTTAGAATGGCAAACAGGCTGATGGCCCACCTGATGGAAAGTGGTAACCGTCGCCTATAGACATGAGTAGTACCATGGACATAACGGAGTATACTGTTTCGCCCATGATACCCCCCATGCGTTGCCATTCCTGAGTACTCAGGTGTTATTCCTCTGTACCCAGTAAATTCACGCCATATCCCACCCTTCAAACCGAAACACAGCCATGCAAAAACAGCTACTTCACGGTTGAAACACGAACTAACCTCATTATATTTCGCTAATTACAAAAGGCTCTTAAATGCCGAGGAAGGTCATAAAGGGTAACTTCAAATCGCTATTGTTTCAGGAATAAGAAAGGGTGCACAGTTTGAAATTTAACATTGTATTATATTGTCCCTATTTAACCGTATAGAAAGAATACGTAAATAGAAACAAAATTAGAATATATAGAAATTCACTTTAATATCTCCAAAATCATTCAACCAATTTTAATGTTTTCTAAAACTGTATTGTTTGCTCTAACTTGAGATATAGGATCGTCTTTTATTTGGATAGAGAAAAAATACTCACTAGGTGGCAATAAGGGGAAAACAACGTTGGCCCGATCAGCTACTTTTCGCTATAAATCTAAATCTTAATGACAAAGGGGTGCGTAATCCATTTGTTTTGTTAGCTTTAGATGTCACGGACGCATTTCACGGTATAGCCATGCGACTGACCTAAATTGGGGGACGAAGGGATTGGTAGTAATGGGAATTAACTACCCCATTGCTGGCAATATAGCCAATGAGGTCGACCTCCACACGGTTTCCCCACATAAACCATTGTAGTTAATTATGGTTAAATTCGTCACAAGGGGCAACTGACCTGTTTTCATTCTTACCAATCATTCTTCACTGGTGGCCCGTCATTGTATACCGATAGCGCGGGTGGGGTTACAATCCATTAACATCAATTAAAGGGGGGGGAAAGGGATTGTTAGTAACAGAGACTAAGAAGATCATTGCTAGCAATATACCCAACTAGGTCGATCTCCTCGCAGTTCCCCCTGGAAATTATCATAGTTAATTCCTGATGAATTCATCATGATGAGCGAACTGGCCTGTTTTCATTCTCATCTGTCACCCTTCACTGGTGCTCCGTCAGCGTATCCCATTAGCGCAGGCGGTGTTACCATTCCATTTCCACCCATCAAAAAAAAAAAAAACTGAACCAAATTACATTCAGCTAAAATAGACGATACAATTGTAAGTCGTAAGGAAAACCTTCAAACGGATCGTAAAACGTGCTGAGTCACTTTTCAATACGTATTAAACTGAAATAGTAAGTTCCAAATACAAATGCGCATTATGTAGTTATTGCTAAAGTGGCCGCATACAGCAGTGTAGTATAGTATGCCTTTGATCGAAATTCATTTTCATCTTAATTTTTAGTGTTCCATACATGAAATGAGTCCTTGTGTTGCGATTTTGCCTATCCCTCTTTCATAGCGTGGGTATTTTAGCTACTATTTAAATTAATTTGAGATCCATGTTAATTTATTCACTTAATTGTAATGTAATAAGAATGTGACGGGGGGAAAGGGATTGTTAGTAATGGAGACTGAGAATCCTATTGCTAGCAATATACCCAACCAGGTCGACCTCCTCGCGGTTCCCCCTGGAAACTATCATGCTTAATTCCTGATGAATTCATCATGATGGGCTAACTGGCCTGTTTTCATTTTCATCGATCACGCTTCACTGGTGCTCCGCCAGCGTATTCCATTAGCGCAGGCGGAGTTACCATTCCATTTTCATCCACCAAAAAAAAAAAATAAGAATGTGAAGGGGCTAAGGGATTGTTAGTAATGGAGACTGAGAATCCTATTGCTAGCGATATACCCAACCAGGTCGACCTCCTCGCGGTTCTCCCTGGCATGGTTACCATACCATTATCACCCATAAAAAAAAAACATAATTGAGAACCATATCATTGATGACTCATAACAACAGGCATGACTCATAATAGGTGCCTTAACTGGACACACGCCGGTATGACATATACCAGAGGTGGTCGAATCACGATCGACTGGACTATTAGTCTAGTTGATCGTGGCAAGTCAAAAATATAATATTTTGCTAATATAGCGAAGAAGGTGTTCAGACGCAATGCTCACAGTGATAAGAAAAATACTACGCGAATTATTCGCAAACGATTGTCACAAGAAAAGTTATAACGGAATGTGATTACTTCCCAATAGCTAGATGATTTAAACGAGTAGATTTAGTAGCAAGATAGGGTTAATTCATATTAAATTTGATTCATAAATTACAGTAGCAGCACCGATATTTGCTCGTTAATCCCATTTAGCTAATAAAAAACATGTGAAAAAAAAATTGTATAACGTAACATGATTATTTTTGAATATTTCTTGAAATTTAATTTAATTTATAAAATAACATAAAGAAAAAGAGAAAAGAAAAAAAAAAGAAGGAAAAATATCTAAAGATCATATAAAGCTGATTATTTTACGATGAACCATCCGATAGCGCGTTTTTATTTATTTCAGCGCCATCTAGTTATTTTAAGGAAACTATTGTACATGAAAATATATACACGAATTAATTACTTTATGTAAACATTTCCTTAGTCACCTCTTACGACGGAAAAGAAGCCCATTCTATACCGGGACCACATGGCGATCATTTATTATAATAATATACAAAAAAATGCAAGTCCGTTTGCCATTTCAAGCATCGTAAAAGAAGTTTTAGACGAATTGATATCTTCTATCCGTTTGGTCGCTTATAAAGAGCACATGTACTATGAAGAGTACGACGGAAAAGAGGCCAGGTAAGCCCATTCTAATGCTTCAGTTCTGGTCTGACCGGGACCTGTGAAGTTACCTCTTACATGGCAGCGCGTCGTATGGCAAATTTTTGCCGATCTCAAAACAGTAAAATCCCATAAGACATAACCACGAACAAAAAAATCATAAATGTCAAGAAATGTTGATTGTTTTTTTCGATGTTCGGGGGATTGTCCATCAAGTCGTCCCTCCAGTTGATGGAAAATTCTACGTCGATTTCAAGCATCGTAAAAGAGACAGTTGTTGAGTTTTTTAATAAAAAATTCGAATTTGGCCCCGTGATATCTTCTTGGTACTTCGGGGGCGTTTTGGGGGACATAAATGAGATAAAAAAAGCTACGACTTATAAACCAGAGGACTTTCAAGGAGCCTTCTCACAGTGGAAACGGCGTTGGCACAATGCATTATGTCACAGGGAGAGTACTTTGAAGGGGATAAAATTGATTTACCTGAATAATTGTAAAATAAAATTTTTAAAAAACTTTTATACGTACTTTCCGGACAAACCTCGTATATGTTTCAAGGTAAACGATATTAAGATGACAATCTTAAGCCATTACAAACGATAGCAGCCCACTTGACAATACCAATATAAAATTCCGCATCCTTTAGCGTGATGCTGCAATGCGTACTCATGATTATGGTTATTAACCTCGATTTTCTTATTTCTCGAGTTTGAAGCACACGCTGTGTTGGTGTGGTCGTATAGTCGCCATTTGTAAATAATATTGAGCTTGCATTCGCGGGTAATCTATTCTATAACGTCTTCTGTGAATAAAACGGTACTCTTTATTTGCATTATACTTAAATACATTATACAAGATTTTTTTTAATAGATGATAATAGTATGGTAACCTCGCCTGCGTTAATGGAATATGCTGGTGGAGCACCGGTGAGGGATGATAGGTATGAATGAAAAGGTAACCCATCGTGATGAATACACCTGGAATTCAGCACGATGGTTTCCAGGGGGGCCACGTGGAGCTCTACCTGTTAGGGTATATTGCTATCAATGGGACTGGTAGTACGCATTACTTACAATCCCTCAATAAACTAACAAGCTTCAATAATTTTTCCAAAAAAAAAAAAACACCGACGTCATTTGTGGCAAAACCAGTTTTGATTAAAAAACCAAATTACCGATTTTGATGTAAATTCTATAGGACCAATCTGAAAGAAAAATTCAAATAAAAAAATCCAGTTTGACATCCCTTAGTCGCATTTTACGACGCTCAGGGGAAAGGAAGCGGTGGCCTATTCTATGCCGGGACCACACGGCGTAAATGTACACATATTTAACTGAATGCTATACAATTGTCATGCTTTATTTTTCGCCGCATAATTAAATTTCTGTTTTACCAAAGGCTAACTAGGAGAGAATACTATTATAGTATTAAGTCCGCCTATTCTATCAATTTTTTTTTATAATGTGGTCAATAAAGAACAAATAAATAATAAATGCTGTTCTTGCTTGCAGGGCTACGCTCCCCTATACAACCCATTCGAGCAGTTCTTCTCTCGGTACGTGTACCGGCGTGTGCAACACTGTTTTAACCGGCCCATATGCTCCGCTCCCGATGCCGAAGTCACCCTCATGGAGAGGCACTCCGACGACTATAACTGGACATTCAGGTGATGATACGCTTTCTATTTTGGAAAATACAGAAATCATTGATGTTCCGTCAAAGGTGTAGTTTTTCACTTATCTTTTGGAAAAATCGCCACGACCGATACAAATCTGATTTTAATGAAGTTTTGTAAATGTTCTTTATTCCAACTTGAGATGTAGGATTCAAAACTTATTGGAGTCAAAACGTTTGCCGGGTCAGCCAGTTTCCCAATATATTGCTTGCGAGAGCCTCGGCCGTACTAAAGGTGTGCAGGGCACAGGTTTACAGGCAAGAAGCGCGTGTGCATCAACCTGGGCTCGTACAACTACCTCGGGATGAGCATGCTGGAGCGGGGGCCGGTGGCGGACGCGGTACGGAAATACGGACTCGCGATGGCCTCACCTTACGGCGAGCTCGGCCGCTGCGAGCTACACGACAAGCTGGAGGCTGAGATCGCAGACTTCCTTGGCGTTGAGGTTAAGAGCATTTGAAACTTTCATAACTTGGCACTTTCTCAGCTAGGGTGAATAAGTATTATTATGTGAACACAGACTACGTCATCACTTTACATCAAGTGAGACTCAAAGGTGCTCAAGTTTCTTAAAAAAATATGCCTTTTTCGTTAGTTTGTCAGCCAGCTTACCTCGTAAGGGACTTAGTGTGAAGATATCCACTGTCACTAACTTTTGTATTAAGTCAATTCAGTTGCAATATCAAAAAATAGTTTCAACAGAAAAAAAAAAAACTAAGAAAGTAAGAAAGCGTGTAAAGAAGCGTCTCATGATTTTTCCTTAACATTCCAAATTCAACCATATACCAAATTGTCTCCCTAGCGCGATAATAATAGACTTGTGTACTCTTATACTAGGATATAAGCACAGGATCGTAAATAATGACACAGTAAATAGGAGAATAATACTCAGCTAGGTGTGAATATGAGCTGATATGATGATAATCCTTCAGTTATGAGGATAGGCTCATACTGAGGTCGTACTATTTGGTGACGCACGACTATTGGTCTACCTTTTCTTATGTAACTCTGAATGGCAAACAAGCTGATCGCTCACCTGATGACGGAAAGTGGCAACTGTCGTCTATAAACATGAACCGGACCATGGACATTACAGACTTCGCTATGGTACTCATGGCACTTCTCAGCTTTGCCAATCTTGGCGACTACGGTGTAATGGTTGCGTGTCCTGTCACCTCGACGCGTCTTTTAAATACTACGATACAGATTTGCGCTTGACCTAACCCCACCTGATGATAAGTGATAATAAATTAATGGAGAAACGCACTCCAATATACTTATTCATCAGTAACTTGTAGGGTCTCAAATTGTTTTGGAACCTCTGAAGCAGTAACTTTCAATAAATTAACGTAATAACGTATTCCGTTCAGGCAGCTATAGTATTCGGCATGGGGTTCGCGACGAACACGCTGTCACTTCCCGGGCTGCTGGGGCCGGACGTGCTCGCGTTGAGTGATGAGAACAACCACTCTTCGCTGATCCTCGGCATGCGGCTCGCGCGCGCCACTGTCCGCGTATTCCGGCACAACGATGTGAAACACCTCGAGCAGCTCGCTAGAGCCGGCATCGCTGAGGGGAAGTGGAGGAAGATTGTAGTTGTAAGTATTGTCAGCAATAAGTATGATATAGATAGAATTGTCAGGGTCCTGAAGGATTGAAGTAATGGAGTGTCGACAGGTCTTCAGGATTTTGGATGATTATGATTTTGAAATACTAATTACAATCGTAGTAAGCGAAAACAGAAAGTATGAAAATTGTGTAAACTCTTAAAACATCTCTAAAGTCTAACTGCCGTTGCCAATCCGCCTGCCAAGCGTGGCAACTACTGGCAAAACCCCCCATGATGATGATGTTATGTAAAAACAGCAACGTAATCATGTTGCTTCCTTGTCACTAGGTGGTAGAGGGCGTCTACAGCATGGAGGGGTCGATAGTCCCGCTGCGAGCGGTGGTGGCGCTGAAGAAGCAGCTCGGCCTGCAGCTGTACCTGGACGAGGCGCACTCCATCGGCGCGCTGGGCCCCAACGGCCGCGGCGTCACTGACTACTGGGCAGTGTCGCCCGCCGACGTCGACGTGCTGATGGGCACCTTCACGAAGAGCTTCGGCGCTGCCGGCGGCTACATCGCCGGTTAGTTTAGTTTTAGTGTACCACAGTCATATGCTGAAAATTTATAATTAGGTTATTATACTTGTAATTCTGGCTTTCATCAGAGGGAGACTTTATATAAAAGTCGATTGCTTGGGTACTTCTATCCCATTCGTGTTTTAACCGTGAAACAGTTGTGTTTGCATGGCTATGTTTTGGTTTGAAGGGTGGGATATGGCGTGAATTTACTGGATACAGAGGAATAACACCGGAGTCCTTAGGAATGGCAGCGCAGGGGGGGTATCATGGGCGAAACAGTATACTCTGTTATGTCCATGGTACTGCTCATTTCTATAGGCGACGGTTACTACTTTCCATTAGGTGGGCCGTCAGCTTGTTTGCCATTCTAAGTTGAATAAATAAAATTCTCCGACGACGAATTTATTTAATTGCACAATATTGTACATTCGGTTGATTCGATTTAATTTTTCTTCACTAACTAAATAGATACCTAATTTGTGCTAAAATGTATCCTTTAATTATGAAATAATAATCTAATAATGATTTAAAAAAGGAATTAAATACAATTTTATCACATAAAAAGTACACAAATCCGTAAAATTAAAATAGCAAGTTTAATGTACACATACACACATATACATGTATACACACGCGCATACAAACACATATCGAACAACTACGAGGTATTTCGATTGAAAATATTTAAATTTAAAATTTGGAATGTAACTCTCCAAGTGGATTTTGGAAAAGGCACCCTATCGTCGTAGTTAGAGGAGCGTTTGTGGTTTGGCAGGCAGTGCGCGGATGGTGCGCGCGGTGCGCGGCGCGGGGCACGCGGCGACGTACGCGCACGCCATGTCGCCGCCCGTGGTGCAGCAGGTGCGCGAGGCGCTGCACACCATGCGCGCGCCCGCCGGCCGCGACCGCTTCCGCGCGCTGCAGCGCAACGTGCACTACTTCCGACAGAGGTGAGCCCCTGTACTATATCCCCATCCGTGTTGTAACCCGCGGGCCATGTCTCTTTCCCTGCTGCAAGAGTGCTGTCAAACATCTGACTAACCTACTTGGCGCCTTTAACCACTTAATGCGAGGGTTTTTCTGTGAAATGAGGTCAACAGGCGCACTGGCGCACGCATTAAATTCGAACGAGCATACAATAAATATACACTAAACTTTATGAAATACAAACGGGTGAGAAGGTATCGCTTTAGATAAAAATATAAATATAATATTTATAAGTGGCGAGAGGTACTCGGGATAGCGCAAATCGGAACACATTTGATGCGCGAGAGGGTCTCGTTCGAGATGCTTAAGTGGTTAAGTTGTCTATTGATCAATCGTAATTTAACTACTCTGGTGAGCCCTGCACCGTGTCTCCGCTTATGCTGTAACACCGGTCCGCATTTGACCAATATAGGACTATATCGCCTATTTTGTTGTAGGATTGAGGTCAAACATTTAAACTAACCTACTTGTCGCCTTTAAGTCTATTGATCAATTAGTAATTTATCCTAAATGACATTATGAAATAAAAAAAATATTTATTTCTGTTAGGGAAACCAAGGCTGATTGAAATAAAAATAATGTTAAATAATCAAGCCAGTAACAAGTTTTCACTGATAGACACTTAACGGAGCTTATCTCTATATTATTGTACTGTGTATAATGTAACTGTACTTTAACATTGTTTTTTTATCTGATTCAGGATTTTTAATAAATAACTTATACATGCTTTTGGTCCTTTAAGCCGGATTTAACTTGTTTTCTTATTATTATTTTTTAGTATAGATTGAAATCAGTTATTATTTACAAAAATACGAGACCTATTGTAGTAAATAATATAATATATATATTTTTTCAGGCTCGAGAGCATGGGCGTGGTGGTATTCGGTCACCCGGACTCGCCGGTGGTGCCGATGCTGGTATACACGTTCAGCAAGATGGCGGCGACTGTGGAGCTGCTTACAGAGTGCGGCATCGCCACCGTCGGCGTCGGCTTCCCCGCCACACCTCTTAACAAGGCTAGAATACGGTATGTTTAGCTTCTCGCTACTCTAGTAACGAATGTTTCTCCCGCGCACCACTCGCTCCCTCTTTCGCCCACGAATATCTGTACATAAACTATGTGCATAGTTACGATATAACTTATACGTAAGTTATATCGTAACTATGCACCAATAAGTACCAAATTTCATTCGAATCCGTTCAATAGTTTTCGTGTGAAAGAGTAACAAACATTCATTCATGCATTAGTCATTAAAAATCTTCGCATTTATAATATTAATGGGATTTTCATCGGTATTAGGATTTCATAAACAAAAATTATTTTCAGGACGTTTTTATTAAAATTTTTCGCTTTTATAATTGGTGTAAGTTATGTAGAAACAGTGGTATTACCGGGGGTGTTCATATCTTTATTTTCACCACACATAACTCCAATTTACCTTAGAATGATGCAATATTATATGAGCTTACACATATGGCAATATTCAATTCACGCCTATATTTTTGAGAAAACGTAAACTGCCCTGCTGTCTATTTATTATCTCCTTTCGTTTTCCTCAAAATTAGGTACTACAACCGAATACCTGAAGTGTCGTCTGAGCGGAATTGAATTTTAGTGTTTCAGAATCAACTTCTAAATTAACAATATATTTCTTAATAAGTCCTTTTCGAGTAGCTTTTGCTATCTTAGCCTGCAAAAGGTATTTTTTTATTATTGAAGATTTGTTTGGTCATAGCTATTTGTGCGACTATATCTGGAGTAAATTTGAAATTTGAAAGAAAGAAAACATTTATTGTCAACAACTAAACGTTGGTTTTCTAACCTTTAATGTAATTGAATGTTGCCGATAAGGGCAGGTAAGCTATATTTAAATATAGTTGTAACAATGTAACAAAGTAATGATATATAATGATTTACAATTTATGTAAATATTTATTTTAATTTCTGTCTTGCACTACTACTGCTCACTCACTGCTTCCTATGCCACTGTGTTAGGTTGACTGGAAGAAATCTCTTTTAGAGATAAGTTCGCCTTTGCTAACATTGTTATTAACTTAAATATATATATATATATATATATATATATATATATATATATATATATATATATATATATATATATATATATATATATATATATATAATGTATATGTATATACTGGTATAGCCGATTATCAATGCCTTGAAGAACTCGATATATAGATATCAGATATTATCTATCCCTAGTTTTTTTAATAGATGATAATGGACTGGTAACTTCGCCTGCGCTAACGGTGTGTACACTGGCGGAGCACCAGTAAGGGATGACAGGTGAGAATGAAAAGGCAGTTCAGTTAGCACATCGTGATGAATACACCTGGGATTCAGCATGATGGTTTAGAGGGGAAACATGTGTAGTTCGATCTGACAGGGGTATATTGCCAGCAATGGGACTGGTAGTTCGCATTATCAACAATTCTTTAAGTCGCTGAAGATATGCTATACCATCTTTAAAAAAAAACGTTCATGCTCACTTTTTTTACTTTATCCGAGCAGTAAGTGCTTTATATTATTCTCAATTTCGTGTATAATATAGTATATGTCATATATGTGTAAGAATATTTGTTATTTATATATATTTATTCGTTTATATATGTAATTTTAGTATGTATATATATCAATAATTACTTTTACCGCATTCGAGTATTCTGACACTTCCCTATGGTTGACTGGGAGAGAATGCTTTTAGCATTAAGTCCGCCATGTACACATATATATTAATGAATAAATGAAATAAAATAAATATGCGATCGAAGGTACCCTGGCACCACATTCAGGTAGGCTGATCGCGCGCGTGTTTCAGGTTCTGCCTGTCTGCGGCGCATACTCGTGAGCAGCTGGACGCGTGCTTACGCGGCATTCAGAGCGCCGCCGACACCCTCGGCCTGCGGTACTCGCGCCGCCCGCGCCCGCCGCACTAGCCGCCTCGCCCGCCGCCGCACTACCTCCTACTTCTCGTATTATTATTATTATTATTGTATTATTAATAAATTATTTTCACAAGCTTGTCAGCTTTTTATTTTTTCTCTCTCTCTCTCACTTTGTTCTCTGTTTCATTCATTTGCGAGTAAGTATGGTGCGACATCTTTCGAATTATCGCTTTAAAGGGCTTTCAGTAGTCTATACAGGGGGGAAAGGGATTGTTAGTAATGGAGACCAAAAATCCCATTACTAGTAATATACCCAACCAGATCGACCTCCTCATAGTTCCCCCTGAAAACTATCATGGTTAATTCATGATGGAGTAACGGGCCTGTTTTCATTCTCAACGATCACCCTTCACTGGTGCCCCGTCAGCGTATTTCGTTAGCGCAGGCGGGGTTACCATTCCATTTTCACCCATAAAAAAAGTACTCTACACATATTTTCTGTTGCATCTATTTTAAAGCTTGCAAACTAAGCAGTTAGAGTAGTACATAGTAGTAGTTTAAATACATAAAAATAAAAAACCGATCAAGTGCGAGTCGAACTCGCTCAATGAGAGTTCCGTATAAAATCATCAAGTTTTTTTTTTTGTGAAATACAAATTTACGGTTTTCGAATTATTTTCCTTTACTTTATGCTACATAACATTGCGTCTTGCTAAATTTCATCATTCAAGGTCAACAGGAAATACCCTATAATAGGTTTTGATTCCCTTTGCGAATGTCAATAATTCGATATAAATCACTATATAGTATAAAACAAAGTCGCTGTCGCTGTCTGTCCGTTCCTATGTATGCTTAAATCTTTAAAACTGCGCAACGGATTTTGAAGCATTTTTTTTTTAATAGATAGAGTGATTCAAGAGCAAGGTTTATATGTATAATACATGCATAATATTGTAGAGAAACACGGATAAATTTAAAGGTTTCTAATGTGATGTGATGTAATGTGCACCCATGCGAAACCGGGGCGAGTCGCTAGTAAACATAAACAGCTTTATCTCTTGATTGAGTCGATTTAGAAGCTTGATTTTTTCCACTGCTTTAAGAGATTGCTGAGTGTATGATATTAATTGCAACTTGATACCTGCTTAGAACGCGTCTTAAGAAAAAAAGTCTTGACAGACGGACGGACGGACAAGGAAGTGATCCTATAAGGTTTCCGTTATTTCCTATGGAGGTACGGAACCCTAAAAATACATAATATACACTGCATGCAGTACCATTCTTTTTTTTATACAATTTAGAATGGCAAACAGGCTGACAGCCCACCTGATGGAAAGTGCTAACCGTCGCCTATAGACATAAGCAGTAGTATTCTAGTTAATTATCTTACTAATATAATGAAATTGTGACTAAACGATGTCTGTACATAAAAGAAGTTTAAGAAATATTGATATCTTAATAAGACCAATAGAAACCATAACAATTTTCTTTTATTTTTAGAAAAATCGCGCGTTTACCTGTCTGTAGGTTTGTGGCGGTATCACGCAAAAATGACTGCATCCAACTAAATGCAGTTTTCACAGTTGTATTCCTGAAGATTTAACTTAAAATCTGGTATATATTTTATCTTGATACGCCATCTACAAATGGTCATAATAGGTACATTGATTTTGTACTACTAAAACATACGCCCACGAACAAGCAAACAAGCTGACGGCCCACCTGATGGAAAGTGGTAACCGTCGTCTATACATGTGCAGTACTATGGACATACCAGAGTATACTGTTTCGCCCATGATACCCCCCATGCGTTGCCATTCCTGAGGACTCTGCTGTTATTTCTCTGTACCCTGTAAATTAATTGCCATATCCCACCGTTAAAACTGAAACAACCATGCAAACAACTGCTTCACGGTAAAAACACGATTGGGACAGAGATGTCCAAGCAAACTACTTTTGTACAAAGTCTCCCTCTGGTATATAAACATGCAGCTTTTTAAAAATTATAAATATTAAAAAAAAAAACTTTTTAGAAGCAGGTGAGTAATGCTGACTGCCAGTCCCATTGCTAGCAATAAACCCTGACAGGTCGACCTCCTAGTGGTCCCCTCTGGAAACCATCGTGCTGAATTCCAGGTGTATTTATCATGATGGGCTAACGGAACTGTTCTTTCATTTTCACTTATCATCCCTCACTGGTGCCCCGCCGGTGAAGGCACCATTCCATTATTATCTAATAAAAAAAAAAATGCCTAAACATTATCGGGAACTATCAAAGTACTGTACAGTTAAACACGCTGTGGTATACTGTGTATGTCTTAGTGATAATATTTCATGATGATAAATTGATAATGCAAATAATATTGTTACTTATCTTTACTGTATATATGTTGCTGTCAAAACTCTTGACCAGTCAAAAGTACTTTTGACTGAACAAGTTTTTTTTTTAATGGGTGAATATGGTATGGTAACCCCGCCTGCGCTAACGGGATACGCTGGCGGAGCACCAGAGAAGGGTGATAGGTGAGAATGAAAACAGGCCAGTTAGCCCGTCATGATGAATTCATCAGGAATTAACCATGATAGTTTCCAGGGAGAACCGCGAGGATGTCGACCTAGTTGGATATATTGCTAGCAATGGGATTCTCAGTCTCCATTACTAACAATCCCTTTCCCCCCGACTGAACAGGTTGGTCAAAAGTAGTTTGGACTGAAAATTATTGGTTATTAGTACTTTTGATTGCAAATTTGCGGGTTTTTTTTTTATGGATGAAAATGGAATGGTAACCCCGCCTGCGCTAACGGGATACGCTGGCGAAGCACCAGTGAAGGGTGATAGGTGAGGATGAAGCAGGTCAGTTGGCCCATTGTGACGAATTCAACAAGAATTGTTCATGATGGTTTCCAGGGGGAACCACGTGAAGGTCGACCTAATAGGGCATATTGCTAGCAATGGGACTGTCAAACTCCATTGCTAACAATCCCTGTTAGGTTAGGTTTTTTTTATGGGTGAAAATGGTATAGTAACCCCGCCTGCGCTAACGGGATACGCTGGCGGAGCACCAGTGAAGGGTGATCGATGAGAATGAAAACAGGCCAGTTAGTCCATCATGAGGAATTCATCAGGAATTAACCATGATGAGGAACCGCGAGGAGGTCGGGAATATTGCTAGCAATGGGATTCTTAGTCTCCATTACTAACAATCCCTTTCTCCCCGCAAATTTGCGGTTAGGTTAGGTACTTTTAACTGTTATTTTAATCAAAATTATTATTAACTAAAGCATACATACGGTTAAAAGTAATTTTGACTGGTTAAGAGTTTTGACTGCAACATGTACAATACGCATAGAGCTCATATTTACGCGTGTGATAAATAATTTACATTTTGTTTTTTTATTGAGTATAAGGAAAAACTTTTTTTTTATACAACTTAGAATGGCGAACAATCTGACGGCCCACCTGATGGAAAGTGGTAACCGTCGCCTATAGACATGAGCAGTACCATGGACGTAACAGAGTATACTGTTTCGCCCATGATACACCCCATGCGTTGCCATTCCTGAGGACTCAGGTGTTATTCCTCTGTACATCTGTAATTCACGCCATATCCCACCCTTCAAATCGAAACACAGCCATGCAAACACAACTGCTTCACGGTTGAAACACGAATGGAATAGAGGTACCCAAGCAATCGACTTTTGTACAAAGTCTCCCTCTGTTAAACGAGTGTTGTGTGTCTCTAAGGAAAATTAGTGATTAAAGGTGACTTTCACGTGAGTTTCGATCGTTATATCAACGAATACGTATGAGCATGTACACGAGTTAAATATAACCGCCAATTAATAATAACGCCACGAATGCACTTCAGTCTCCTCGTGGCCATGGCGGTTGCAACACTGCCCACATATCGGGAATACATTTGCACATGCATAACGCGATGTCAAGATCCCGCAGTAAATATTTTTTAGAGGGCGCCAATTAAGTGAACTTAAAGGGAGGGGGGAGGGTCACATTTTATGGGGGAAATTTTATTCGTTTATCCTTTTTTGTTATTATGGTAAACGCTAGTAAGTTACTCGTAAATGATAGCGATTATATGGGATTAGGTCAAATGACTCATCATGCGAATTGACCAGAAATTAATAACGATGGTTTTAGGAGGTCCCGTGCTCACATATTGCTATTGATTGGCCACGACCTTTGTTACTAATAATCCCCTCCCCCATTCTCTTCTTATTTCACGGATATGAGGAATTAAAAGTACACAAGCTCGAACTATTTAAAATTAGGAAAAATTTCATATAAGGGTTTTACTAAATTTTACCAAAGTAAGGTACGAATTTTATAAAAAACTAGCGACCCGCCCCGGCTTCGCACGGATGTACATTACATCACATCACATTAGAAACCTCTAAAATTATCAGTGTTTCTCTACTATATTATGCATGTATTATACATATAAACCTTCCTCTTGAATCACTCTATCTATTAAAAAAACCGCTTCAAAATCCGTTGCGTAGTTTTAAAGATTTAAGCATACACAGGGACGGACAGACAGCGACAGCGACTTTGTTTTATACTACGTAGTGATAAGTCCTCCCATGTAATTAATAGACGTACCTTTATCCTTAGGAGTTGGAATTAAAAAATATATTTATAGTAAAACTCCAATAAGCCAAGCAATGACAAATAATTTACTATCAGTATCTGATAGATAGGGATTATTGGCCGACACAGATACCCGTGATAACACCGTATCGCTCCCCCATTTCCATACACAACCATCCATTTTTGGTGCACAAGTGTAAATATCGTAGAACGTTAGTCATTTAACATTAAACAATATCCGAGTGAAGAACACGTGCGTGTTTAAGTAGATATAAGGAAAAATATGTTTAAAATGTTCTATGAAATTATGTGAAAATGTTTATAATTAGTGTGTGGCTAATTTCGATAGCAGCGGGTGGTGTGTGGTCGCTGGAGCAAAATGTTACAGTTATCAGAGAGAGGTGAGCTGTTTATATTATTATTATAATATCCTATAGATAAAAATGGCTATTGGCTTGTTTGAATCGAAGCATTTGGCATTCTATTGTTCTACCTACCCTAATGGGAGACAGGCGTGATTGATATGTATGTATGTGTGTATCCTATAGATCATAGATTCCCAAATTATTTAGAGCAAGAGATCCCTTTTACAAAATGAAGTGATACCTCAGACATCGATAGTTAAATTACTTAAAAATCCTATTTCTACTTTTTTTCTATTGATACAAAATACATACAAAATTTAAAACTTTGCGGTTGGTCAAATGAATAGGTAAACATGACATCATTTTCTTATGAAAATTTTACAAAAAAAAAATTACCACAAAAGCCAGTAAATATCAGGTGTAATTAATAATTATTTAAATAAAATATAAATCACGCAAAAATACTTAAATAAGAAATTGTTGTTTGAAAAAAAAAATTTAAATCGCAAAGTTAAAAGATAAAAAAATCTGTCAAAATAAAATAAAAATATTAGTTACTCTTATATCAAGTTGGTACACGTAATACGACTTACATAGTACCTTAAAAGATTCAAATAAGAACTTATATTAATTATTAGGCATCGATTTTTAGACCTAATCGAACCTTAAAATCAGTTTTTATTTATGTCGACCCCAAGAGGTCGATCATTTTGGGTATACCCGATCTAGCTGCTCAGGACTATTAGAACATCGCAGAAAGCACTATTAACTGCATGGTAACCTCTACTATTGCCTTTGATGATATAAACTGTAAATTTATAATAATTTCAGGTTGGAATTTGATCAAGAGTATACGTACACCGTACAATACAATACTGAATATATTTTGGAATTTGTACCAGTAAGTATGTAAAAGTAATTCTATGTGTGTGTGTTTTTTTTATGCAACTTAGAATGGCAAACAAACTGACGGTCCACCTGATGGAAAATGGTACCCGTCGCCTATAGACATGAGCAGTGCCATGGACATAACAGAGTAGTTTCCCATGATACGCCCCATGTGTTGCCATTCCTGAGGACTCGGATGTTATTACCCTGTACCCAGTAAATTCACTGCCATATCCCACACTTCAAACCGAAACACAGCCATGCAAACACAACTGTAACCTGTAAATTAATTGTGATACCTTCGAATAAACTTTAAATATACTGTATTCAACGATATAGTCTTTTTCAATAAAATTTACTGCCGTATAGTCTTGGTATAGACTGGACCGCTCCTTCCTTTCCCGTAGGTGTCGTAAGAGGCGACTAAGGAACATAACGGAAGAGGGATGGGCAGCGTCCCTCCTAAAACATGGCACCGTGGTAACTACTGCCAAAATTCCCCAATTGTGGGAGGCCAATGCCCAGCAGTGGAGAGTTTACGGCTGATATAATAATAAGAATTAGAAATTTGACTTATTTGATTAAATATGTTTTAAGTATGAACACTAAATGTTTTATAAGTAGTCAGTCGAGGATGGGAAGTGGCCGAGTCGAGTGTGGGTCAGTGCGGACGGCGTCGATACTTCGCGCCCTCTACTGATCACCTACAGACAAACAGCTGGTAAGTATATCTTACTAATATTCAAATTTGGAAGTTTGTGAAAATGTTTGGACGCTTGTTACTCATTCATGTTTTAATAGATTCGAATGAAACTTGGTATACATCCGAATACCAAATTTGACCTGGTTAAGATTATGTTGTAACTTAACACACAATGCCTACATATGATTTCAAGTGGACAAAGTAACTGGAAACTGCTAGTTATTTTGTTATTATTATATATAATTGTACTGTTTTACAACCGTCGCTTATATAAGAGAAGGGATTGTTAGTAATGGGGATTAGTAGCCCCATTGCTAACAGTATACTCTGTCAGATCGACCTCCTCGTGGTTCCGCCTGGAAACCGTCGTGATTGATTTATTGTTAGATTCGTCACGACGGGCTAACTGACTTGCCTTTTCATCCTCAGCTATCACCTTTCACTGGTACCCCGCTATACCAATAGCGCAGGCGGGGTTACCATGCCTTTTTCGCCCGTTAAAAAAAAAGTAGCAGGAAACTGTTAGTTATTTCATAATTATCATACACAATTGTACTGTTTTACAACCGTCGCATATATTCACAGATACCAAGGGCGCTTCGCTATGGAGTACAGGAACTAATTATATCTACAGTACGTCAATAAATGGAACCCGGTTCTTAAAACTGGTGTCAGCATTCATTATTAATATATTTTTTTCCTACAATGAAACTCATGCTAATTTCTAAAATCACACGACCGATTTTAATGATATATTGGAAATGTGTATTGTTTCTCCAATTTGAGAGATAGAATAGTTCTTATTTCTATATCAAAAAATAAACCTGGTAGGAAGCGGCTGGTAGCAGAACAACGTTTGCCGGAGCATCTACGTCTATATGCTCCATCTGCTTGTTGCCGCTTACTTCTATAGGACAATTTCCATGATTACATAAGCAAAGGCTTTTGAAAGGGAAAATTCCAGAATCACTGCAAGAACTATGGTAACTGATGAATTTGGAATAAGTTGATAACAATTGTATATCATGTGGATGCAGATTCCACTAGAATAGACAATACGCAATAAAGGTCTTTGGTACTCGCTTCTCTTTGCCTACCCTGCAAGAAACTTAGCGTGAAGATAAATAGATAATTTACATTTTTACTTGTCAATAATGAATACCGAATTAACGTTACAGGTGCGGGCACTTGGCAACTACCGTACTACACGGGTGACGAGCTCCAGTATGAATTCGAGCGTTCACTGTGCCCGGACGATAGCGTCGTAGGAAACAGTTCATACTGTGGTATGTTGTTGTTTTGATGATTAGATTGAGAAATAGACGATGACTTTAATTATAATTATATTTTATTTAAATACATATTTTAGTAGTGCAAATCAAGTGACAGGTGAAACCAGAAAGATAATGCAATATGGCGTGCGCTGGGTTCTTCCCAATGCGACAATAGATGGCGCTACGTGTTCCCTTTACATAACTTAGATTATTAAATTTAACCTAATTACACTTGTACGATGGAATTGAGACGTGCCTAAAAGGACAAAAGTCCTTAAATAAATAAAGATAAAAAAGTACACATGTAGAGTCATTTGTTTAATCGATAGTACAAGCTCTGCATAGTTTGGGACTAGGTGGCGCTGTGTGATATATGCAACGGTATTTCTCGAATCTTCCTAATGTTGTGTAGGCGGCGAGCGGGAAGCGCGCGGCGAGTTCTCGCTGCACGTGGTGTCGGCGTGCGCGGCGCCGGTAACAGTGCGGCTGCGCGCGCGCATCGCCCGCGACTGGCTGCTGCCCTTCGATCACTCTATATCCTTCACCGCTTCACTGGTGCGTCTGGCGGTTCACTCATACTCTATTAGCACAATATAAAGATTCCTTGCACTGTGGTATTAGCATAGTATTTAATAAGACCTAATATATATCACATTTCTGCCAAGGCCGCTATTGAAAGAACTGATAGCCGAGTATTTTGCTAGAGCATCTTTTTATGTTTGGCCGTAAAGCTAGCTCTGTACTCAATCAATCAACAAGGGCTTCTCATGCCCGCCAGATGATGTGTGGACGGGCGAGGTAGGGGCCTCGGGGTAAACCCCTCTACCCCGGCTTCAACTCCGGAGGCGACGACCTCCGCGTCGCTGGGTTCTTCAGCCGGCATACACTGATGGTCTGTGTATGCCGGCGCGGTTTTTTTTTGCTCTATACTAGCTTACGTCACTGTAATACCTATAGTTTGGGAATAGATGGCGCTGTCTTATATTCTATATTCACAACTGAATTTGAATGTGTATTATTGGGTTTGTTTCAATTGCAGACCGCACCACAGGTGCACCACTACCGTTTCTTGGAGGAACAAGGGAGCGTGCGACTACAGATCACCGCCGATGACGACGTGTGCGCGATTGTCGCGGTGCAGAACTATTCGGTATGCGCGTATACTAACAATAGTCTGGTAAAATGGTAATTAGACGATGCCTGAACATTATTTTAGAAAAAGAAAATTAATAATAAAAAAATATAAGAGCAATAGAAGTTGAATAAGTTTTTAATTTTTTATTCATCTATCTGTATGTATGTTTATTTCGGAATCAAGCAAATACAGTTTCCACAATCCTTATTATTGAAGGGATATAACTTTAAATCTGATATATCGTCATAGTCGTAGAATACTGACGGATCTTTATATGTAAAAGGCCGGCAGCACACCTGCAATGCCGCTGGTGTTGCGGGTGATCATGGGCGGCGGTAGTCACTTACCATCAGTTGAGCCGCATGCTCGTTTGCCCTCTGTGTTGTAAAAAAAAAATCTTTATATGTAATATATGTCAGATCCGTCAGTATTCTACGACTATGACGATATGTTTTATCTTGTTATTGCTACCATTTAAAAATGGTACGCCCCGTATGTAACAGTGTCTACGTAATGTAAAATCGCTATCAAATTTAATTTCAAAATAGGTTTTTTATTACATAATGATGAATATACTGTGTTACCAGTGGCATCCATAATTAATTATTGTACTTCTAAAAAGATGTTAGAGACAGAGGCAAAGAGACTAATGTAATGAAAAAATACGTTTTTGTAACAAATATACATTAATTTATTTATGAAAATATCTTTCAGTGTCCCATATTGGAAATGGTATCCGACATAGAAGGTTCCACGGTGCGGATGACTATGCAACGTTCCGGCGCAGTGCAGGTCTCGGTATGAATAAATCTATTTAACTTATATTTTTTCTTGTAAAAATACAATTAATAATTGTAATTATTTATTTATTTAACTCTTTATTGCACCATAAATAAACATATACAATGACAAGTGAATAATTCAAGTGAAATACAGTAACATAAATACACATTGAAATATACACATAAAGGTACAAAAGGCGGTCTTATCGCTAGGGCAATATCTTACAGACAACCTTTGGTTAAAGGAGAACAGATAGAAAAGGGCAGGTGGCGCAAGAGTGAATTAATAATTTTTCGTGTATAAAATACAAAAACATGTAATGCACAAAAATATCAAATACATATATGTAATTTATTAAACTACTTACTATAACTATAATATATATAAATATAGTAATATTATAAAGATTTGATTGTTCGTTTACAATGGATAAACTCAAAAACAATTTAACTGATTTAAAAAAAAAATCCTTTACCTATAAGGAATCTACATTACCAGCGAGTAACGTAGGTATATATTATATTTGAAAACTCCATCTACCCGTGCGAAGCCGGGCCGGATCGCTAGTGATTTATAATTTCAAAATAAAGACAATTTTATTATGAAATTATTCCCTTTTTTTCATATAAACTTTGCTACAAAGAGGACTGGTAGTCCACGTTACCACAGATAATAAGATATTATACTAGTAATATTACTAACAATCCCTTCCCCCCACGTTTAATTATTTCCCTTGATTCTAGCGCAGCAAATATCCTCTGGGGTTCTACGTGGTGGTGGTGGTACTAGAGACGGACATCCCGTGCATTGGAGACGAGCCGGCGTCAGACGACTGGCTGTGGCAGGTGGCCATGGGCGTTGAAAGCTTACAGCGATCAGAACCACCGCGGGAGAAACGACTCGACCTTGTTATCCGGGTATGTTGGTGTGTTTTTGCTGCACCTGATTCACGCGATATTGATTTTGACTGCAGGTGACTCGCTACCGACTTTCAAATGAGTGTGTGGGTGGAGGGTGGAGAGTGCATTTTTTTTTGATGCGTGAAAATGGTATGGTAACCCCCCCTGCGCTAACGGGATACGCTGGCGGAGCACCAGTGAAGGGTGATAGATGAGAATGAAAACAGGCCAGTTAGTCCATCATGATGAATTAACCATGATATCTTCCAGGGGAACCGCGAGGAGGTCGACCTGGTTGAGTATATTGTTAGCAATGAGATTCTCAGTCTCCATTATTAACAATCCCTTTCCCCCCTGTGGACACAGCATTATAATGTTATGGTGACGCTATTTATTGTACTAGGTTCAAGCATAAGAATTAATAGACGAGTTTAAGTGACACTTATGTACTTTTTTTTTGTGAGTAGGTACAACGATGCCGACAAAATGTACTCCACTTCCCTTCACTCACAATAGCGTTGTCACAAATTTATATTAATTTAATAAATTACTTTCCCATACATAAATAATAACAACCAATCCATTATCATATAGAACAGCGGTTCCCAATCTTTTTTTGCTTAGGAACCATTTTTATATTATTCTTGATTTTTTTTTTTTAATGGGTGATAATGGTATGGTAACTCCGTCTGCGCTATTGGTACACTGGCGGGGCACCAGTGAGGGATGACAACTGAAGATGAATATAGGGCAGTTAGCCCATCCTGACGAATTAAACTAGAATTAGTCACGATGGTTTCCAGAGGGGGCCATAGAGGTCAACGACACGGCATATTGCTAAATGCATTTGACATTACTAACAATCCTTTCCCCCTATATTATTCTTGTTAGTAGGAACCACTATCTAGGTACGAGTATAATAAATATATACTGTAATAATCAAATTGAAACTGTAATTTTGAACTCAATAGGAAATTATAAGAAGAAATAACTTTAACTATTTAAATTTTAAAATCATCCATTATATTCACCATGTCATTTAATTTAATTGATACAATGTAAACAAGATTTAATTTAATTCATAGACAACCGTAGAATCTATTAATACCAGTAAAAGTGAGGACGATACATACAATTTAACAATTACATCTGCTCTCTGAAAACCGCGCTAATTAAAGGAATTCAATTCTTACCTACGACTCGAGCGACGTACATAGCATGGTTACTGAATTGACGGGAGTGTTACTATCACCTAGTCTTTATTCTTATATTTCAAGCATCCATTTAAGTCTGGTTATCAATTGCAAATTGCCTATAAAAATTAAATTAAATTTGTTTTTATTTTGTTCCTTTCAAATTAGTCGATGTGTTAAAAACTTGTCAGTTCAAACTGGAATCATTAAATAGACTAATTATGTCAGCCAATTCATTACCTACTATTAATATTTACTCAAAGAAAGGTCGTGCCTCACTTGCATTTACTTATTTCCATTTAAAGTTAGCACTTGGGAATCTTTTTCTAGTTGTCACATGCCACTTGCGCGTTACCACCTTTGCTTACCAGTACCACAGGTTTTTCCACTTAGATATTTTCATTTCAGAACGAAATGTAATGTATCACACACAGGCCCAAGAGGTTTAAGTGATACTAAAAATCCATAGTTTTTTTTTTTAATGTGTTTGCATGCTAATTAAATAAAAATAAATAAAAAAAAATTACCAGAGGGAGACTTTGTATAAAAGTCGATTGCTTGGGTACCTCTGTCCCATTCGTGTTTCAACCGTGAAGCAGTTGTGTTTGCATGGCTGTGTTTCGGTTTGAAGGGTGGGATATGGCGTGAATTTACTGGATACAGAGGAATAACATCTGAGTCCTCAGGAATGGCAACGCATGGGAGGTATCGTGGGCGGAACAGTATACTCTGTTATGTCCATGGTACTGCTCATGTCTATAGGCGACGGTTACCACTTTCCATCAGGTGGGCCGTCAGCTTGTTTGCCATTCTAAGTTGTATAAAAAAAAACTTAACAACTTTCCAGCCAGCGTTATCGCGGTCGCAGTATGTGATCGCGTCAGTGGTATCGACGGCGGTGTTCCTCGGGTTCTACGTCGGATTCGGAGTGTTGGTGCTGATGCAGCGGTGGCCTACATTCGGCAAATACGTTTGGCCGAAAGCCGTGCTCGCCAAGAAGAGTGAGTGCATATTGTTTAATAGATAATAATGGAATGGCAGCTCCTCCTGCGCTAACGGTATACGCTAGTAGGGTACCAGTAAGGGATGATAGGTGAGAAGGAAACGGTAGGTCAATTCCCATCATGATGAATACACCTGGAAGGTGATGGTTCAGCACGGTGGTTTCCATGACAAACTATGGAGAGGAGGGACTGGTAGTTCGTATTACTAATAATCCCTTCCTCCCACAGTTCATATTTGGTCATAAATCATCTTGCTATATAAACATATATAGACTTTTTACTATAGCTTTGAATAAATTGTTTAATTTAATCAAAATCTACATAAGTGATTGTGCAAACGTTGTTTCTTATCGAAATATAAAGAAAATACACTCAAAATTAATTTGAAACTTCTTCTTTACAATGTAATCGAGGTAACAAAACATAATTGTTGTTGTTGTTGTTGTCTGTAAGAGATTGCTTTTAGCGATAAGGCCGCCTTTTGTATATGCACATTCTGTATAAATACTCCTTGTATACATCTCTACTGTGCGCAATAAAGAGTTTATTATTATTATTAATTGTGTTCCAAAAAAATAACTTTAATTGTGGCAAAACCAGTTATTTTGATTTAAAAACTAAACTGCTGAACTGATTTTGATTAAATTTCTATGGAACCAATCTATAAGTATCCTTTTAGATAAAAAAATAATTTTCCAAATCGGTTCACAACTGACAGAGTTATCAGGTATAAAAAAAAATTAAGATTGTGACCCGAAAAAAAACCGACTTCTACAACTGAAAAAGGCAAAAGCTGTCATTTCGATTTAAAAATAAAACTCCGGAACTGATTTTTTATAATTTTTCTATAGGATCGTTTGGTCCTTGTATAATATATCCTTTTAGATAAAAAAAAGTTTTTTAACAAATAAATTTAGAACTAACAGAATTAAGAGGTAACAAAGATAAAAAAATGTTCCTGTAAACAGATCTTTCTTTTTCAAGTCAGTTGTTAACTATAATATCTCTCAAATTAGAGCCAACAATACGTATTTACAAAACTTAATTAAAATCGGTTGAGTCGTTACAAATATTTATATATTAAATTTTTATGTCAAGTTCATTGTATGAGATCAAGTCCCAAGTTATCTCTTGTTTCATATGTTATATTAACTCATGCATTCACACCGATTAAAAAAGCAATTATATCATTTTACAGAAAGTAACGTTACGTTGCATTTTAAGCTTTATTTTATTTAAAATATAGTCTATAGGGGTAATACTCGTATATTCCAGATGTTGAGAACGGCGAAACTCAAGTGGACAGTGGATATCCTGATGTGGAGACCTCAACGCACCGACGCCGCCGTCGCGGCTCCGGTCTGTTGTTATTAATATTTTTCCTAACTCTCTATTATATAGTTGTAGTACTTCAGCTGCCCGCTAACGACATGCTTTCCAACTGTATTAGGTTGACTGGAAGAGATTGATCTCTGACAGTCCCCCCCCCCATGCGTTGCCATTCGTGAGCACTAAGGTGTCATTCCTCTGTACCCTGTAAATTCACTGCCATATCCCACCCTTCAAACCGAAACACAGTCATGCAAACACAACTGCTTCACGGTAGAAACACGAATGTGGCAAGCGCCTTGTCTACAAAGTCTCTCTTTGGTAAAATTATTTTTGGTATTATTACCCAAGCATGCCTAGAAAGGATTATACAAAACCGTTACAGACGCGACCTTCGACAGTAGTGACAACAGCGATTCGGATGAGGAACTACCGACGGTGACTACCACGCCTAGCCATGTAGCGAGCCCTGCTAGTCCAGCCTCGCCTGCGGACCCTGGATCTCCCGTTTTCCAAGACCCGTCCGCGGAGCCGACATACCCAAGGGAGCCCAGATCTGCCGTGACTCCAACCTCGCCCATTTCATCAATAGAAGCTGCTAATCACACAGCTGACACCGTAGTGGATGCATCTGCAAATGGTGTGTGCCGCGAACATGATAGGCGAACAAACACTGAACAGGTTAAAACTTGGTTATCATATTTTTTAAATGCATTTAAATCGTTTTAAAAATTAAACACTTTGTGTATTAAAATCCATGCCGTGTGGTCCCGGCATAGAATGGACCAGCCTTTTCTTTTCTTTCGGTGTCGTAAGAAACAACTAAGGGAACTTAATGGTCAAGGGATGATCAGCAGCGTCCCCCTCAAAACATCACCAAAGCTTAACTGCAGTTGCCTAATTAATCGTGGTAACTATTGGTAAACTCTTCTTATGGGAAGGCCTATGTTCAGCAGTGGACAGTTAACGGCTGATATAATAATATAAAAAGAAGGGGGGAGAAGGATTGTTAGTAATGTGGACGTTAATCCCCATTGCTAGCAATGTACCCTGTCTGATCGACCTTCATGTGCTTCTCCCTGGAAACCATCGAGATTAATTATTGTCAAGTTCATCACGATGGGCCAACTGACCTGACTTCATCTTCATCTACCATATCCCAATGGTGCCCCACCAGTCTATGCCGATAGCAAGCGGTGTTACCATTTCATTATCATCCATTAAATATATAAATATATATATATATATATATTTATATATATATATATATATATATATATATATATATATATAAATAGAGAGTGACCCCGTTTGTCAGTAGTATCTAGTAGGCAGTGTGAGGCCGGATCTACACTATTATGCCTGTCTCGGATCTTGGTCCGATCTCGGTTTGATAATTAAAAGTACGTCAAGATTAATCGTGACTGGACACCTCTCGATAGAGATTGATTTGGACGAACTGTAGTATGAATAATAATATAATACGCATATTGTGGCTTACCAGCATTATAGTGTGGATTCGGCTATTCGGATATTTTTAATGGTTGATGATGGAATAGTAACCCCGCCTGCGCTGTCGCTATACACTGGCGGGACACCAGTGAGTGATGATAGATGAGGATGAAAAGACAGGCCAGTTAGCTAGTCGTGATAAATACACTTGTAATTCAGCACGATGGTTTCCAGGGGGACCACGTGGAGGTCGACCTGGCTGGATATATCGCTAGCAATAGGGCCCTTCGTCTCCATTGTTAACAATCCCCTTCCCAAATCCAGCCTTATATTGACGCGTCGATCTTCCGCGCAGTGTGATCGAGAGTAGCAAAATGTCTGTAATCGACCTATTGACGTTGGCGGATGATCGGCGACTGAAAATCTCAAGTGGTGTTAGTTTTTTTTTTAATGGGTGAAAATGGAATGGTTACCCCGCCCGCGCTATCGGTATACACCGACGAGGCACCAATGGAAGATGATAGGTGAGAATGAATGCAGGTCAGTTGGCCCACTATGATGAATTCGACAAGAATTAAACATGATGATTTCCAGGGGGAACCGCGTGGAGGTCGACCTGAGAGGTTATATTGCTAGTAATGGGGCTATTAGACCCCATTACTAACAATCCCTTTCCCCCCCGTGGTGTTAGTTTAGGTAGGTGTACAATATTGTATGTGCAGTCGACGCCGTTCGGCCTGCCGGCGGAGCTGCGGCTGGCGGCACTGTCGCGGCGGCGTGCTCGCGTGCTGGCGGCGCGCTCGGACCGCTACCTGCACACGCTCGCCACCGTCGCTGTCTTCTACGCGCTGCCCGTCGTGCAGTTTGTCATCGCTTTCCAACTGGTCAGTATACTCATACTCTATGATTTTAATAGATCGACCTAACAGGATTTTTTTTTATGGGTGAAAATGGTATGGTAACCCCGCCTGCGCTAACGGGATACGCTGGCGGAGCACCAGTGAAGGGTGACAGATGAGAATGAAAACAGGCCAGTTAGCCTATCATGATGGATTCATCAGAAATTAACCATGATAGTTTCCAGAGAGAACCGCAAGGAGGTCGACCTGGTTGGGTAAATTGCTAGCAATGGGATTCTCAGTCTCCATTACTAACAATCCCTTTCCCCCCCGACTTAACAGGATCAAAAACGAATAATGAGGCCACTAGTTTACAATTATTAACAAATTTAACATTTTTCCCTCCTGGTGCCATTCTTAGGTCAGGGTCAGGTTACTTAGCTGGGATGAGTTTTTTTTAGTGGGTAAAAATGAAATGGTGACCCTGTCAGCGCTAATGGTATATACTGACAGGGCACCAGTTAGGGACGATAGGTAAGGATGAGACAGGTCATCCTATCGAGACGAATCCAACAATAATTAACTACGATGGTTTCCAGGGCAAACTGCGTGGAGGTTAACTTGATAAGATATATTGCTAGCAATGGAGCTGTTAGACGACATAATTAACAATCCCTTTCCCTCCAGCTTAAACGTGCCATGCCTCCACTGTTACATATTTTAGTAAAACAATGGTGCTTGAAGTGAAACAGCAATTTTTATAGACATCCCAGTAACTATTGTTTGTTTTTTTTTTTAATGAATGATTATAGAATGGTAATCCAACCTGCACTAACGCTTTACGCTGGCGGAGTACTAGTGAAGGATGATAGGTGAGAATGAAAAGGCAGGTCAGTTAGCCCATCGTGATGATTACACCCGGAATTTAGCATTTACACAGTTTCTAGGAGATGTGGATGTCGATCTGACTGGTCTGTATTACTAACAATCTTCCCTTCTCCCCCCCCCCCTTCTCGCCCCTACTATTGTCTGTAAAACTAGCATCAATTATACATAAATTCACTTTTAAAAGGTTTCCAAGGTCTTTTACCAAACACGCAAATAACTTCTCGCTCTTCACTAGTTCATGAATGTATCCGGTGCTCTGGACCTGTGCTACTATAACTTCTTGTGCGCGCACCCGGCCGGCGAGGTGAACGACTTCAACCACGTGTTCTCCAACATCGGCTACTTGCTGCTCGGCGCACTCTTCTTACTACAGCTGCGCCGGCGCAAACAGGCACGGAAGAGGGCGCCCAGGGACGAGGTGAGGACATTGCATCAACTTTCTCCTATATAGTCTTGTACAAGATTGCTTAAAAAAGGAATGTAGTATTTTCAGGATTTATTTATATATGTGAGTTTCTTTATTCCATTATAATTTATAATTCCTGAACAGATTTGGATATATGGGGTATCGTTAGAATCCATACTCTGTTACTCTTCTGAGTAACACTGGCTGTATACTTTTTTTAATAATTTAATTGAATATAACAAGATTGATACCAACCTACCGCAGCAATATTTTTAAACCGATACGACATCGTAACATTCAAGATCTTTTCTTATTCATTTTTAAAAAACAGGCAACACACGTGAAATTCTTTCTATACTGCGCTTATGGGCGACGGTAGTCATTCACCATCAGGTGCGCCACATGCCCCTGCATTTTAATCGCGTTTTATTTATACAACTTAGAATGGCAAACAAGCTGACGGCTCATCTGATAGAAAATGGTAACCGTCGCCTATAGACATGAGCAGTACCATGGACATAACAGAGTATACTGTTACGCCCATGATACCCCCTATTCGTTGCCATTCCTGAGGACTCAGGTGTTATTCCTCTGTATCCAGTAAATTCACGCCATATCCCACCCTTCAAACCGAAACACAGCCATGCAAACACAACTGCTTCACGGTTGAAACACGAATGGGACAGAGGTACCCAAGCAATCGACTTTTGTACAAAGTCTCCCTCTGGTAAAGCGTTTAAAACCTTTTTGGCCAGCCCTAGTTATGCAGTCTGCCAATTATGTATAATTTAACCAATATGTTCCGCAGGAGTACGGTATCCCGGCGCATTATGGGCTGCTGTCGTCGCTCGGCGTCGCCATGATGGTAGTGGCGCTGCTCTCAGCTACTTACCACATTTGCCCTAATCGCCTCAACTTCCAATTCGGTACGCATTATATTATTATTATTATTTTGTTATTAGTTAAACCTTCGATTTTAGGCTATTTTTTATATAAATAACATATATAAGTTATAGGCATTTACCTATAACATACATATTTATACGATGCTTATTCGTTGTTTTAAAAAATAATCATCATATTTAAAAAAAAAACACTACATAGAAAATCATACTACATTATCCTTATGCCTTATGCCTTTTATATTATCATTCCGTTCATATAACAACGCTGAACGCTCGCTTTGCAAGTGTTCTTTAGTCGATCGCCGACGTGCTAATCTGCGGTCGTAGGAAGATCAGCAACGTCGAATTGCATGTATGTATTCTTGCTACCGACAAGATATATTTTTATACTATTTCTTACATAATAAAAATAAGATTTATGTAAATTTGTACATATATACATATTATTGAATATTATACAGATGTTATTCTTATTACATTAAAATACATTGTTATGACACAGTTACTTTTTTATTTTTTTATTTTTTTTTATTTATTTATTTATTTAACAAAGTATGTTTGTATTAGCACAGAATTTATCATTGCCTCCTACACTAGGCTGAGCCTGTCCTGTAGGAAGCAGTACTCGTGTTATCATATACATGCATATAGATATTAAACATAGGCTTTTTAGCAGTACTCACAATTGTGTAACTAATCTGTATAATACAATTATTTTATTTATTTATTTTTTCTTTCTCTCACCACCAATACACATGTATAAATAAGTATTATGAATGAGTGTGTGTGCATGCGTGTGTGTGTGGTGTGTGTCTCTCTGTGTGTGTGTTTGTGTGTGTGTGTGTGTGTGTGTGTGTGTGTGTGTGTGTGTTTGTATGTATGTGACCAGTATTTTCATTTATATGATTAACAAGAGCATGTTTTCAGTATCGTCATAATTCATAGATTTCAGGTGTTCGCTTACTTTTGATTTAGTTTCTTTTAGGGTACAGTTCTTTAGATTGTAAATTTTGCAAAATTTATTATATATGAATGGGATCATGCAAGAAGAGAAGCGTCTGGCAAAACTAGTTTTAGTAGTAGGTGTAGGGAGAGTGTAAAAACGCTTGTTTGAAGCCTTAGGGTTATTCAGTGACTTTTGGATTATGCTGTGACCAATAGTTATAATTTTGAAAATATACAGTTTACGAACGCTTAAGACCTTTGCGTCATTAAATAAAGAAGCTGTTGAATATCTAAAAGGCTTTTTGAACATGACCTTTAATATAGAACGCTGAGCTCTTTCTAGTTTCAGCAATATGATCTTAGCAGCTGATCCCCAAACTCGGATGCAATAAGTAAGTACTGACTGACACAGCGCGACATAAATATTTCGGAGTAAGGATGGATCCATCACGTCTCTGAGGATTCTCATGGTGGGAATAAGTTTTCTTACTCTGGCAGACATATAGTCAATGTGTTGCTTGAAAGTAAGTTTCTCATCTAATACCATCCCTAGATACTTTACAGTTGGAGAGTTCTTAATAGTGTCACAGGAGCACGTGTTAGAATGGTATGTCGGATTTGCAACACTAGGAGTAATAGCCATACACATGTGTATCTTGATATCTGGAACGGAGAACGGCCTTGAAGCTTTAGTTTTATAAAAGCATACATATTTCGTTTTTTAAAGTATTTATTGTCAGTAAATTTTTGTTTAACCATGTAGCAACTAAAACCAAACCTCTCTCAACGTTCAAATAACATTCGTTCCAATTATTACCATGGAATATAATAGCTGTGTCATCAGCATAACAAGTAAATTTTGCGTTGATTAATGGGGTTAATAGTAAGTCATTAATATAACAAAGAAAGAGCGTAGGACCCAAGATACTACCCTGTGGTACACCAAAGCAAGTATTCTCAAAATGACTAGTGTGATCATGCACTTTAATACACTGCTTTCTATTCGTTAGGTATGAATTAAACCACAAAAGTGGTTTGCCTCTAATTCCCAAACCTTCCAATTTTCGCAAGAGTATAGGAATTGACACGGTGTCAAATGCCTTTGTCAAGTCAAGGAACACTCCGACACACGCCTGACCTTCATCGAGGTGAGAACAAATATTATTAGTGAGAGAGCTCACAGCATCTTCAGTGGATTTACCACGGCGAAAGCCAAGTTTGGCTTTCTCAGACGCACAGTTGTGCGTCTGAGAAAGCTTTGTTTGTTTCAAGGTATTTGACTAATCTTTTGTTTACGATTTTTTCTAAAAGTTTGGAGAAAGTAACCAACAGAGATATTGGACGGTAATTATTTACTGAATTTTTATCTTCGCCCTTGTGTATAGGAGTAACAGTGGCGATTTTCCATTGATCAGGAAATTCACCGGAAGCAATACTCAAATTGAAAATCGCAGAAAGAGGCTCGTTTATGTATTGTCGAACTGTTTTTATCAGAGTATTTGCAAGTCCATCAATACCAGGTGCACTTTTTTCATTAAGTAATTGTATGAAAGAAGAAACTTCGAATGGATCAGTTGGTTGGAAATAAAAAGAATGAGGAGATGGATTTGAAAGCTTCACTCCAGATGCCAGAGAGTCTTGTGTTTCATTTAATAGTGACATAGTTGTATGAGCAAGGTTTTGACCGACAGTTGCGAAAAAGGAATTACAATAATTGAGGGATTCTACTGGATCACTTTTTATTGTAAGTAGATTTTTTGCAGTACTCTTTTTAGTATTTTTATGAATTATTTTATTAATACTATTCCAAAGAGGTTTAGGTTTATTTATATTTTGCTGAATTAATCCACTTTCGTACTCCCTTTTCAAACGTCGCAGCAGGGAATTATAAAAATTTCTATATTTAATATATGTAGACTTCTTTATCGGATTGTCAGGATGTTTACGTGAATCAGAGTGAAGTTTATCTCTGCGTTTGGCACACCTGAGCAACCCTGGGGTCATCCAAGACTCTTTAGTGTATTTAGAGTGACTAACTTTATATGTGTGAGTGTGTTTTTTTACAATCTTCATGAATATATCCGTGAACAAATCAGTGGCCTCATTTACAGAAGTACTATTAAGAATCTCCGTCCAATCCACACAAGCTAACTAAAATATGTTGAATGTAGCAGCTACAGCCACTCTGTAGCGCTAGTCTTTTCACAAAATAGTTTATGCATGTATCCAAAATCAATTCTTTAAAACTTTATTTTATTATTAAAAAAAAATTCACATTTTAATTTCGACTTGTTTGATGATCCACTACGTACGTCTGTTCCAGACACGGCGTTCATGTACGTGATGTCTGTACTGGCGATGGTGAAGATCTACCAGGCGCGCCATCCCGACGTCAACGCGCGTGCTCACGCCACTTTCGGCGTGCTCGCCGTACTCATCGCATTTGGTACGTACAAACTTCTCGTTCTACTTAGATTGTCCCAGAATTTCGTTACATTGTTATTCTTCATGTACTGTAATTAGAGCCGTAGCTAGACCCAAATTTAAGGAAGGAAAGAGATTTTTAATAATGGAGTCTAACTGACCCATTGCTAGCAATACACTCTGTCACGATGGACTAACAGACCTGTTTTCATCGTCACCTATCATCCCTCACTGGTAATCCGCCAGCGTATAACGATAGCGCAGGCGGGGTTACCATTCCATTATCACCCATTAAAAAGACCCTTAAAAGAGTGCGATATGGCAGTGAATTTATGGGGTACAGAGGAATAACACCTGAGTTCTTAGGAATAGCAACGCACACGGGTATCATGGGCGAAACAGTATACTCTGTTATGTCCATGGTACTGCTCATGTCTATAGGCGACGGTTACCACTTTCCATCAGGTGGGCTATCAGCTTGTTTGTCATTCTAAGTTGCATAAAAAAAAAAGAATAAAGTTGATTGATAGATAGATAGATAGATAATTTATTTGCATTACTTACAGCACACAAATTACAACATACATATACAAAAAAAAAAAAGCGATTTTATTCTATTCTAATAAGCATTTTCCTATTTTATCCTCGTATGTGCAGGTGTATGGGGAGTGTTGGGCGGCGGCTCTTTCTTCTGGGCGGTGTTCACGGTGCTGCACGTGTTTACTTTCTTAATGCTATCTCTACGCATCTACTACATTGGACAATTTCGACTTGGTAAGACAAAATTTTACTTTTAGTTTTTTTTTTATAGGTGAAAATGGTATGGTAACCCGCCTGTGCTAACGGGATACGCTGGCGGAGCACCAGTGAAGGGTGATACATGTGAATGAAAACAGGTCAGTTAGCCCATCGTGACAAATTCACTAATGAATCAATCACGATAGTTTTCAGGGGAAAACGCGAGGAGGTCGACCTGATAGGGTATATTGCTAGTAATAAGGTTGCTAATCTAATTATTAACAATTCCTTTTCCCGCCCAAAATCTTTAGTATCCCCCTCCAGCAATTTAATCAGATTGCTGTGTTAGGAGTCCTTTATTTGTATTAAAAATAGTACCTTTACTTATCTCCATGCAACTTTAACTGAAGGATAATATAGTATTTTTTTACTAATACGACCATTTACGTTATCTCATATCTCTCTTACACAATTAAAAGTTAAGAAATGCTAAACGTTAAAGACGTTATCTATTATATCGCTTTCAATTAATTTCTTTATTTGATTTTAAGCTCACTTATTCTTTTTTAATTTTTAAAAAAAGAACACAGAATAGATTAATTAGTAAAATTCTTTATTTAAATAATTGTGGCATTGCAGAAAAGGAGACATTGCAGAGGGCGGCGCGCGAGCTGCGCTCAGTGCCGACGACGGGCATCAAGCCGCTGTACACCCCGCGACTCGTCATGCTGATAATCGCCAACGCTGTCAACTGGGCCTTCGCGCTTTATGGGTATCTGCTTTGTCTCTATAGCTTACATTTTTGTGCGCAACAAACTTTATAAGTCGAAATAATCGTTCCGCGAAGACAGTTGGCGTATTCTAGTGAAGACCTGGGCCATTGAAAAAACGCATATGTACTGTTAGGCACGTCTTTGTAAAGCTTCGCGGGCATCAGTTCATTTTGGAGTTGGTACAAATACGCCTTTGGGAAAGACGTAGGTATATGTATGGTAGGTAGGACACTGATAATGTCTCCATAGATGATCAAGCAGTTTCAATTAAGCACGCAGTTATCGTCAGTAAAACAAAGACCATCTTAAAGAGCTTTCTTTGTCTTACCAGCTGCAAAAAAAAAATAACTCGAGTCGCTTGATCAATTACTGAGTCCATTATAGGTAGTCTATTAATTCACTTCGCGTATCCCCATTGAGAAATAAACACTGTTGTCATTGTTCCCGTCGACGTCTTATTAGTCGCTCGGTTGTATCGGAAACATGTGATAGAATATTACGCATGAAGTTTATTAGTTGACGGGATCACCAGAGAGAGACTTTGTACAAAAGTCGATTGCTTGGGTACCTCTGTCCCATTCGTGTTTCAACTGTGAAGCAGTTGTGTTTGCATGGCTGTGTTTCGGTTTGAAGGGTGGGATATGGCGTGAATTTACTGGGTACAGAGGAATAACACCTGAGTCCTCAGGAATGGCAACGCATGGGGGGTATCATGGGCGAAACAGTAATACTCTGTTATGTCCATGGTACTGCTCATGTCTATAGGCGACGGTTACCACTTTCCATCAGGTGGGCCGTCAGCTTGTTTACCATTCTAAATTGAATAAAAAAAAATCAGCGTAATAGAAAATAATAGAAGTTAGTCATTATGTTAGTTAAATTATTTTTTAAACTAAAATAAACTTTTCAGGCTGCTGATACAGAGCGCAGACTTCGCTTCCCATCTCCTGAACTTGCTGCTGTGCAATACCCTCATGTACATGATATTCTACCTGGTAATGAAGATACTGCACGGCGAGCGGCCGCGTTGGTACGTGTGGTGCTTCCTGCTGGGCGCGTTGGCGGCGTGGGGGCCCGGCCTCTACTTCTTCATGTCGGGCAGTTCAAGCTGGTCGAGCACGCCGGCACAATCCCGCCAACTCAACCACGAGTGCCATCTTCTCCAATTCTATGACTCGCACGACCTCTGGCACATGCTATCAGCCATCGCTCTCTTTTTTAGTTTCAATACGCTGCTCACGTGGGACGATGGGCTTGCCGCCGTCAAACGTACCGAAATAGCAGTTTTTTAATTATGTACTTTTTTAAATTTAGAATGTTAATAAATGTTAAGATAATATTCTTACTATGCTTTATTTATCCTACCATCTTCCTATATTTATGTATAGTTTATAGATGTATTTATAGATGTATGTATAGTTTCTCAATATTAAGATGTGAACTAAATAGGAATTACAATAGTTAGTGTATTATTTATATATGAACTATATATTATTTTTTTATTGTTTAATATATGTTAATTTTCATCAAACGAATACATACTAATTCATAAAAATAAAACGTAGTAAAAAAAAAAAAACATATGGGTAGTCTTTTTTGTAAAAACAATGAGCTGATCCATCTTTATTTTTATCATATATCAGCTTTTAATTGTCTAGTGCTGAACATAATACTTTGGGGGGTTTTGCTAGTAGTTACCACGCTTGGCAAGCGGATTCGCAACCACAGTTAGACTTTGGAGATGTTTTAAGAGGAACGTTGCTGCCCATCACTAGCCCTTCCTTAGTCGCATCTTACGACGCTCACGGGAAAGAAAGGGGTGGCCTATTCTATGCCGGGACCACACGGCAAATCTCTGTCTTACACGGAGCAAATTATACGTGCTTTACTTTTAAATTGCAATAATAAATAAAAACAGAATGGAAAGAATTATTATTATTTATTTACTACATGTAACAATTAAAGCATATAAGTAGTTATAGTATTCCCATGAAGTAATCCTCGCCTAAAATCATAAACAAAAACTTAATAATATATATTAGCAAGAATACTTAACGTAGGATTAAAGTTCCACGTTTACATCCATGCGTTTGTGCGTTTAATTTTTGCAGTGTAATGCAAGACTCATATGACATTTTATTTACATTTGACATTTGTCTGCTGGTGGGTGATTGGCGATTGACTGACGTCACGTCATCGAGAGTTGGTTTGGTGTTCTCATTATTTTTATTTCGCAATTTCTGGAATATCTTCACAATTTAAATGTTTTAAGTTACAAATTACAAATAGTGCTCACAATAAAGAATATAACTGAAATGGATAATCAATATTATTACAAGTTAATGGCAAGTTATTTGTCTAAACGGAACTGTGACGAGTCGTTCATGAGATACTTTTTCGGTAAGAACTCATTAAAGAAAACACCTGAGGAATTAGAACGAGCAGATGAGAGAAAAAGGAGGCTGCAGAGGGAACGGTCGCGACGGTATCGCGCACTAAAGAACGCGAGGCGACAACACGAGGGTGGCGGCAGCGGCGGCCGCGACAGCGGGGACAGCGACGGTAATGCACTTCGAACTAAGTCTAGGACCCTAGTGCTCGAGGAAGAGTTCAGCGACGGGGATGAACCGCCGACACTGTGTGATCTCAACTACGAGGAAAAATGGATCGGCGGCGGTGCTTCGGATTGTGCTTCCGACGACAACTCGGCGCACTCCGCCGCCGAACTGAAAGAGGCGCCGCTGTCCGGTGACGTGTCCCTCAGCCTGAAGGAGTTCTTGAGCTCTCCTAATGCAGAGCTGGACTACCCCACTGTGCACAGCCTTATGTTCCACTGGCTGCAAACGTAACAGCACCCGGCTATGTACCTACCATGTTACAGGTTTCATGTAGGATTGGCTCATATCATATTAGAACTCAAAATTATAAATTTTGTAATATTCTAATGCAAATTGATTTGTTGTGTAAAATTGAAAATTAATTTGGACACAAAATTAAAAGAATTGATGTGGTAGTTACACATATCATTATAATATCATCACAAATATGTTACGACCAACACACATCACATTTATAAACCGTCCTGCTATAATTTTAATCTGACTAATTAGAGAGTAATTTTTACATAATTTAGTTTTATCCTAATAGATTGGTAGTGCGGTTTGAAGTTGTCATCAATGTTAACTGATAGAATTGCTTCAAACATTATTATACTGATTATGTGGTTAAGACAATATTGTTTTACAAATAAATTGAAACATTTTCATAAAGATTTATGTATAGCGAATTTTTCAGCACTTGTTAGGTTGGTCTTGTACAGTCATATGGCTAGAATACCTTTCTGAATTCATATTATTCGTTTAGAAAAAACTATTGTATATGATTTAAAATTATTCCATCTATATCTGTCTCTTGCATAATCACAACAAATATTAGAAATTCTAAATTTGAAAATTCAAAAATGTAAATTCAGACATGCATTCTAAATGTATAAGGCCAGCTTTAAAATTGTTCGCTGTATAACAGTAGCTCTTTAACTTGTCTTCTATGTCTAAGACAAATAGCTGCCTGGTTAATTCTGGTAGCTTTTTCATCACTGACATATGACTTCTCAATAAGAATGATGGTTGCATAGAATAATAGTACCTACAGATGACATTATTTGGTGTATTTATTAATTGGCAGGTAAAAGATCAGTCAGCTTTATACAGATGGATCTTGTTTCAAATTGTGTCATTTGTAGAAGTTTTAAGGTTCAAGAATGCCTGAATGCTAGGCTCCACTAGTTAGTAGATTATTCCACTAGACAATAAGTTGTTATTAAGTTGCCATATCCTAATATTTAGATACTCAACTATTATACATAATTATATATGCATATATAGAGAAGTATAGAGTATATATATACCTATAGTTTGTGATACGAATGAATTTACATTTTGTGTGAGATCTACAATATTAATTGTAACATTTAATATAAGTCGAACAATATACACTTGTATGTATACACTTTGGTTGCAATTATATCTATTTAGCAAACTTCTGTTTGGTATTTGCATATAAAGATATTAGAAAAACATTCCTGTACTAAATGTTTTATAATTATATAATATGTGATTTGTAAACAATTTCAGGTAAACTTAAAATATTGCATTTATTTTTTAATACTCTTATGTATTTCTAAGCTCTCTTCTATGTTAATTGATAAATTTGGCATAAAGTGTAATATGAGATGGTAACATCAGTTTAATTTTACTACAATGATTTTGACTCACTATAAGTGCGCCGCGGCATAAGTATATGCCTATGGTGTAGGCAAAGTTTATGAGGTTTGCTTTGCACTTACCACTGGTGCTGGTACTGATATGGGTTAAGAGTCTTTTCAGACTAAAAATATATAAAATTTTCTAGTATTTTTTATTATTATGATTTCACTTTTCACATGGAGGACACTATAAAATTGATATTTAGCTGGCCACTGAAAAATCGAATTATTAAAAAATTTTAGCATTTATTTTTTTTATTTTGTTGATGGTTAGCCCATCAACAAAATAAAAAAAATGCTAAAATGTATTGGCCAGTATGCTACAATTTAGCATATTTTGTAATCATATTAAAGAGTTAGAAAACATTCATACACAAAATTGCCATTTATATGTTTAATTTGTAACAGTACTTTAATTATGTACACAGTACAACATTTAGGCCGCCATTTTATTTAAAAGTATTTTGAAATTTATTATAATGCTACATAAGATTTTAACATATGTATTTAATAATATAATAATTAGTTACTTAAGATTTATTTTTTTATTTAGATACATTAAGTAATTCCAATATTAAGAAGTGTTTTTGTAACATATGAACAAGAAGAAAAATCCTTCCTAAAAAATTGAAGTAAATAATGTATATTAAAATACAAGCAATAAGGACATTATTATTTCTCATTACGTATAATTTTTTATATACAAGTTATAGAAATATGTTCTAGTATTATTTATAAATAATTATTAATTTAGCAAGACTGCATTCGTTGATCTGATTTCAATTTAAACCTTTGAAACGATATAGAGCTAATTTCTACTATTTTATATTTCACATTTAGTTCAAGTGGCTAAATGTTCTAGTTAACTAATTTGGCTGCTTATGTATTATAAGTAAAACTGTGTCCGCTGCAAGCAAATAAAAGAATAATTCACGACTATAATCTTTGATGAGACAAGTAGAGGTTTTTGAGCATTATTTCTTTTGCAGCGAGTGTAATACATTTTTGTTGTGTTTTTCTTACAAAACGGGCGTGTCGCTTATGTAGTCCGTAATGACAGGTTAATAACAGTATTTTGTTATTAGTTTTCAGTGCAGCGGACGCCGTTTTCTATCAACACTATGTAATTCAATCATAGAATATAAAACAGTGCCTCTAGATGGTATAAGTAAGTTGTTAGTTAGTATCCACATGTTATCGCCAGACACGAGCCATACTATCCTAAATTAGTCTAGTTTTAAGTGTACATTAGGCAGACAGTAAATTAACCATTCGAGACATGGGCATAGAGTAATCGAATGGTTATAAATTTGTCTAAGGTGCTTACAGATGCATAGTATGTAATCATAAAATGTATATAAATAATGTCCATATACCTTACGTTCGTAAATGCCAGAATTTTTGATCTATTATTAGCGTTTGTTGTGTGTGCACATTTCTCTGACGTGTATTGAAATGGATATTTAATTACAATTATTCTTTTTGAGGGACTTCTCACACTTTTTCAGCTCCGTTCGCGTTTCGCTGAACGATTTTGGTCACACTTATACAGCTCTGCTTCTATCAGCCGCGTACGACGTCGTAAGAATGAGAAAAGCCGTTTTGAATTTACAATTTTTATTTACTATAAAATACGTCTGCACTTATTAATCCTTGCGTACATAATGATTATGCAATAAATCAAATCAATGCAGAAACAATACAGGTCACAATTTGTCGACAAGGAGTCGCGAAACCTCCCTGTAAAGAGCCGTTTCGCCGCGTTCGACGGTGAATACGGCAGAACAGCGCTGAACGCTCTCTATGGCATTCGCATGATAAATACACATTTATCTCCATTTTATACTGAGTTGCCGCGAAAGCAGAATAGACGCGAAAAGCTGAATGGATACGTACACGTCTCCATACAAAATCTTTGTTTTCTATGGACAAAAGCTGAATAGAGCTGAGTAAGTGTGAGTAGTCCCTAATTCCGCTACCGTTAGTATGTGTGCGACTGCCAACACTCTAATATTGACTACTATAATTATTACAAGATTACCTATATTAGCCATCAATTTTGCTAGCCTGACGAACAGTTAACACTAAGCTCCAAGCAGCAATTTATTAATTTGCCTGAAGATGCATCGTTTAGAGGTGAAACACATGTCACAAAACATGCGTGGACAAAATGGTAGTCGAAAATCGATGGCTAATATGGCGCTGGTGTTACGTTTGATACATATTACGTTGGAGGAAATGCATTTGTGGTGTGGAGTTTATAATATACTCTTAATAGACATATAATTGATCTGTTATATATTGATTTAAATAGTTGACGCAACGCAAGTGCATGTACTTTGTCTTTGAAATTTTTAACCTTAAATTAGACTTAATTTGATACCTGCTTTTTAAGTGCTGGCTACTAGTATCTATTTTTGTTGCCTGCAAAAAATTGGCATTTTTTTTTCAAACTAATTAACAATAGATGCTCTATTGGAGGCGGTAGACTGATTCTTTTATTGGCATATGTAAAACTAAGGTTATTTTAGTTTCCTTTTTCGTTATAGAAGCATTACATAAAGATACGTAATGTATTCTTATAATGTAATGTAATGCTATTATATGTCGAATATAATTATTTATCGAGAAAAATCTTAAAGGGGGAAAAATTTATATACAAGAGAGCAAACACAACATTTGAAAGCATTAAAATTAAAACTTGGTTTAGATAGTCACATTTGTCATAAAATCTGTAATCGTCTAGAGTCTGTATATTTGTTCTTTATTCAAATAATATACTTATTACACTGTTGTAAAATGGCCGGCATTTGTTCATAATCAACGTACAGATTATTAGATTTTATCTGCAGATATTTGGCCGTAAACATATAGTATTAGTATTAACAGTCATACGATCATGCACGAACGTGTACGTGAAAATTAATACATAAATATTTTATTTAGAACTCCAACCTGAAGTTATCTATTAAATCCGGCCCGTATCTACAGATAGACGATAAAATAATTTTTATCTGCACATAATTGTTTTTTAATTGTATTGTATTCATACAATTTTTTTTTTATTTTTTGTTATAAAAAAGTATGCTTGCTGACTATTAACGATTAAGCACCTGCCGCAGTTGTAAGTTTTTTTTTTTTGTATTTTTTTCTCCGGAACATTATTTGAAGATTCGAAACATCTTAGGGCTATAATATACATATTTGTTTTAATAATAGCAATAGATCTGGCAGCTCGTTATATATGTATTAATTTTAAAGTTCAAGACATTATAGTGTTAGCAAGAAGAAGTGCATTTGGAAACCGGAAAAATAAAAAAAAGTTCGAATACAGGACATTGTGGTCTGCGCACATGATACCTATTTTTTTTTTTTTATATAAAACCAAACCCTTGTAATAGCGCAATCACCGCAACAGTGTGTATGACCTCTTTGTTACAGTACTTCTCAATTCACGCGTTACTAACAGAACATTAAAATCTTGACTTATATTTAACTACCATGTATCATCCTTAAAATGGGAACAACATGCCAGATTCAATACTGAAAAGAATGTAGTTGTCTTTGCCTTTTACTTTATATACAATCTTATAGGTAAGTAAATTATAATAAAGTATTGGGGAAAGAAATAAATCGAGTTCTCCAACAAAATCAAGTTTTTGTTAATTTTATATTTAAATATTAAATGTTAAGTCTTCATAATGCACTTCTGCTTGTGCCAGCGATGCCTTCAACGAATGTAGTGTATAAATTAACGCTTAGTTAGGTACTGTAAGGTAGTGCCATATTAAAGAGCTTCCTGAATATTTTTAACCGGTTTTTTATTACCATTTCTTTTAAGTTCTTGTATATCCTACATTATTGGTAACTACGACCTGTGTGACATCGGTGATGCTGTAATAGGTACGTTTCTTTCCATAATGTCCCACGTTCGATTGTCGTGTAATTTAGACGGCGAACTTTTCCAAATTGGATATTGTGTGGACATTCAAAATTGGACTCTTCTTTCAGTTCTTTTTTTTTCCTCTTTCTGGAGTTCCGATTTCTTGCAGTGATCTTATAATTTTAATAATAAAATAAACCGAGACAGACTTTTATTAAAATAATTTTATTATGAAATAAAAACAGATTAAGTATTATTAGAATGTGTAGTACTACGTACAATAATTCAAAATTCTCAATATAAATCATAATTATTCAATAAAGCTCATCACCTTCACTAAGTTGGATATATTTTACATTCCTTCTAGGGTATTTATTATGGGTGTTATTAATATGAAAACAAAATTAAAAATTTATAATTACTTATAATAAAATACTGTATTCATATGGACTTAATTTAAACCAAGAGTTTTAAATTACATACCTACATATTTACATAAAGCTAGTAGGTATAGCTGTTCCGGATCTTGATTCGAGCTCAAATTTTAATGCAAATGAGTGTATCAAACGGAGTATCACGACAGAGATTGCAACTATATTACTAATTCGAATAAACGCCTACTACATTTATTGGCTCCACTGACCCACCGAATGTTATGTCGCAGTTTTTTGCCAAAATAAATACATACAGTGAGTGTAAAAAGTATTCGTACACCTAGGGTTATAATAAAAAAAATACGAATTTGATAGACTTTCCTCTATTTATTTAATTTAAATCAATACTGTTAAATAGTTTAACATTCCCGCACTTTGTTTATGATAATTATTGTTTTTTTTTTTAAAAATTATACAACATAAAAATATTTTTACGTTAACTAAGCAAATAATGACAAACAAAAAGTATTCGTACATTCATTCTTTTTTAAATGAAATTCTGTATAAATCATTTATTCAATCGAATTTTTCATATGCCTACAATGCCAAGGTCATTTTTAATACATAGGTATAGATATTAGACGTTTTAGTTGCACTCGTGACAAGTATAGACGTGTTTAATTACAAAAATGGGTCGTAAAGCAAAAGAAACGAGTGAAGAGGAGAGAAAAATAATTATTAATTTGCATAATCAATACAAATCATTATATGAAATTGCAAAATTTGTCAATAGACCACGTTCAACCGTACAGACTGTAATTGATCGATTTTCTATTACTAAAACACTAAAAAACAAACCCAGAGGTGGGGCGTCCATCAATAATCACGCCTCGATTGGATCGGAAAATTTTAAATTGTGTAAAAAAAAATCCAAAAATTAGTGCCGCTCGAGTGTTACAAGAAATTAATAATATCAATGATTGCCATATTTCTGTCAGTACCGTTCGGAACGTATTACGTAGTAACGATTATCATGGAAGAACTGCGCGTAAAAAGTATTGGGTAAATGATATTAATAGAAAAAAAGATTAGAATTCGCAAAAAAATATATTAATGAAAAAAAAACATTTTTGGCAAACTGTTATTTACTCAGATGAATCGAAATATAATATTTTCAAATCGGATGGACATCATATGGTATGGAGAGAACCTAATATGGAATATAAGAAAGAAAATTTATGTCCAACGGTAAAACACGGTGGTGGGTCAGTATTTGTATGGGGTTGCATGAGTGATTTTGGGGTGGGAAAACTTGCATTTATTGATGGAATTAGGGATCACAAAACGTATATTAATATTTTAAAAGAGAATCTTCTCTCTAGTGCAGCTCAAATGGGTTTTAACAATAATTGGATATTTTTACAAGATAATGACCCTAAACATAAAGCATGGAATACTAAAGCATGGATCCTGTTTAACGCTCCAAAATACCTAGAGATTCCTCCTCAATCACCTGATATTAATATTATAGAGCATGTGTGGGATTATCTCGATAATAAAATTCGAAATCGACCAATTTCGAGTAAAGAAACACTAAAAATTGCGCTTCGCGAAGAATGGGCATTGATACCGTCTTCTTATATTTTCAAACTAGTTGATTCGATGCCGCAGAGACTCCAAGCTATCATCAATGCTAACGGTGGTCCAACAAAGTATTAATATTTTTTTAATATTCATTTACTTACAAATTTTATAAGTGTACGAATACTTTTTGTTTGTCATTATTTGCTTAGTTAACGTAAAAATATTTTTATTTTGTATAATTTTTTTTATTAAAAAACAAAAATTATCATAAACAAAGTGCGGGAATGTTAAAATATTTAATAGTATTGATTTAAATTAGATAAATAAAAGAAAGTCTATCAAATTCGTATTTTTTTATTACAACCCTAGGTGTACGAATACTTTCTACACTCACTGTAGGTTATTTTAGCTATGTGTAAAGATCGTCTACGTTAACCTGGCACGCCCCTTTAACTTTTTACTTTAGTCTGGGTGACCATATAGAGACGTGGTGATCTTTTTGATGAAACGTCGTAATATTCTTTGATCGGAATCTTGTAAATATTTTTTATCACATATTTTTTACTCTTCAGATTTTGGAGCGGTGTGCCATGATATCGTGACAATCTGCAGCATATGTGAGACATGTTTACAATCATAAACGGAACAGTCAGGGGCGGATTTAGTAGACGGTTATCGTTGTGATGAACGAACTACTTTGTCTAGTTTTATATATGTATAAACAGGTACAATTTGACTCTGTTGTAGGCGATGCAATTTGAGAATTTGACAAAATTTTCTATATTTTGATTTATAATATATATTATTATTATTAAAAAATATTATACAATTTAAATAAAAAGTATTAAGTAAAGTATTAAGAACCAGTCACCATTCGTTCATATCGTCATAGTCGTAGAATACTGACGGATCTGACAAAGATTACATATAAAGATCCGTCAGTATTCTACGACTATGACGATATAATTAATTTCACGTTCATCACAATCGGACGAATATACGCAATAGTGGAATAAAAATTATATATGATCACGATTATAATTCCTAATGGTATAGTTAGAGGTATTTGTCAACTGTCACCATTGTAATTTTTAATTACGAACAATGATGGTCATGGTGTCCCTTATGAGCTCCCACTGCTGAGGACCGAGACGGTATTTCTCTTATGCACAACAATTAAAACTAATTAATTACATATTAATATCACGAATTAATATCCATAAAAAATAAAATTTAATGAATGCCTATACAACACAGCCATTAATCATTGGTAGATTTGCCTTTATTTTTATTTATATGTTACGTACTCATATTTTTAATTATATATACACAATTAAATTAGATTTCACCGTTTGCTCGCGAAAATGTGACAAACAATAATTATATTGTTAGTTGTGAGTACAAACACGTGTGCAGAGTGAATGCTAGCATTGATATTACATCTATCTTCACGACAGATCCATTGCGGTGCCGGTAGAAAAAACCCAGTACAAAAACCTTTATCCTTGCGCAAAATTTTCAGCTACTTTCATAACTTGTATTAGTATTTCTCTCTCAGATAATACGTGACTATAATCTATAATGATACGATAAAGACTCGAGACTCTGAATCTTGTAGTGGAAGTCTGATGTGAGGATAGATGTTATTTAGGTGCTCATGCGCCGATCCGCTGTGCAACCTACTCCTACACAATGCAAATTTGTCATTAGATTCTCGTGTATAGTGACCACACGCTACGTATCATTCGGCGCTCGGCACGGTTGACGTACTCAAAATACTAGCCATTATAATGACGAATGACGCTCCCGTATAAGAAAAACTAACCTTACCTATTACGACATAAAGTACATAATCGCAATATGAATTATATAGAATGTCGTCAATATTTAATAGACATATTAGCGTGTTAGAAGGCTTTTTGCATGTTACGATTTGTGTTCCCCGAGAGTTGCGTCAACGACCTTTTATAAAGACTAGAAATAGTGCACGATGTTATACCTCTGTTATTTTTGCAATACGTCGGCGATTAAAGAGGATTATTTATGCTATACTCGGGCCAGCCGAGCAACGCGCAGTCGTTCGACTGGAAACCCTTGCTGTAAATGAAACCGTATACTATGTACCTAGTAGCATTCTTAAATTTTTTTCCAACTGTAAAAGTTAATAAGACAATATTAATGAATGCGCGTGCGGTTCTAAGCGGGTGAACACCGCGCAGTGCTCGGCTGGCGACGGTGGCGGCGAGCGCGTGGGTGCACCACGGCCGCCGCGTAGCTCGGCCACTCGCGCCCGCGCGCCTCCGTCATAATACTACACACCAAATAGCATAATAGTGCACATTTTCGTTTTGGCGTATCATGAAGTCTTGTACCATGTACAAAATCACTTATGTCACCAGAAAAAAACAGGTAATTAATGTGTAAAATATAAATGCTTATACAAGTCCTGTAAATAAAGTGCACTAAAATTGAGAATGGAATGCATAACTTTCATTCATTTTTACTGGCTGTAACAAATATTAATCATACTCGAGCAGAACATTCTTAACTGATTGGGACAATGGGAATTTCAAACTATCACCTTCGCTACCACACACTCCACCATAATCATCAGCATTCAATGAGTAAATCATGGCTCCACGCAACTGATTGTCTTTGATATATTTGGCTTTTTCCATAACACTTTTAGGGGTATCATATGATACCCATTCCTTGCCATTATACAAATATGGTACCTTTGCATTCTCATCTTGTTTAATTTTCACAGTATTATGTTTGTTTATGTATGTACAGATATCAGGATAGTTAACAAATCCAAGGCCCCCTAAAGTCCCATAGGAAGAGGCAGGACTTCCCACTCTGGTGTTGTCTGCATTTACTAAAGTAAAAGAATGTCCATATGTTGGAATACCAACTACAATTTTTTCACGATCAAGTCCTTTATTTATGTACATGTTAACAGTATAATTGATGTTGAGGGTTGCCATATACATTTGTTCAGTTGGTCTTGCATATAGCGGCGAATTCAATCCAGTGAAGGGTGTAAACTTAGTGAAATAATGAAAGTCATAAGTCATAATGTTCACAAAATCTGTGTACATATTCAGCTGGTCTACATCATAGCATACATCTACTAGTGTTTCTGGAGCTGCAACAGCCACTGTCAACAAATAATCTCGTTTCTCCCTAATATACTCACTTCGGATCTCATGTAGCAGTTGTGAGAAATGTTGCCTCTCCCGTTTCTCTAATTTATACTGAGAATTGTGAACAGCTGGAAACTCCCAGTCCAAGTCAATACCGTCAAGTGAATAATTTCTTAATATGTATTTGATTGATTTAATAAATATCTTTCTTGAAGCATGATCAACTACCATCTCTGAGAATCCATTATCATTGCCAGCTCCACCTACAGATAGCATTACTTTCAACTTAGGATTTTTATTTTTTAATTTGACTACCTGTGAAAGTACTTTGTACTGTTGCTCATCCAATGATATTGATTTGTTGACAACACGTGCAAATGCAACATTGATGTGTGTGCATAAGTGTGCATGAATATCAGAGGGCATTAGTTGATTATTGTCTTGATTGTTAGGAGTGTCATAGTAACATGAGACAACTTTCTCATCATCTTTATTTTTGCCCATTTGTTGTTGCTGTATATCCAACAATTTGTAGTATCCATTGTTTTGTTCTTGAGCCTTAGAATAAATTGACGCACGCGTCACAGATTTACGCAAAGTAAATAAGGTTAATGTATCAGCACTAAGTAGAGGAAAATATAAAATAACTGCACTTAATATAACCAATGTCAATATGAGTAGTAACCATATAAGAAGAAGTTTCCTTTGGGGATAGGCTCTGGAACTGGCGAGATTCTTGTCGCAGATAACAGGATTGTATTTATTCACATTGCCTCTTATAGTACGTAGGACCATTTTAGTGGTTGCAACTACTACAAATAAAGGGAAATGAAATGATCCTATACCGTACACTTGCACGTAAAACTCGCAAAGTAAAAATTTCACTGTGTTTTGGATTAAGAATGTCTTTAGGCCACGCCTATAAATATAAATTAAGTTTGATGTTTTATAATCGTAAACAAAACAAACAGCTGTTTACGAATTGCATAAATTACGTCATGCTGATAATGATAGGTCAGTCAGATGTCATTGTCAAACATCCAAATTTGTTAAAGTTAAGGTTTCAAGTTCCTCGGAGATAAGATAGATGTTAGAATTTTATCATAGCTTACTAAAGTAATTTATTTTCTTCTATGTGTATAACTTTACACAAGAATAAATTGAAAAAAAAAAAAACAATTACTGTGCGGTTCCCAGTTTCCATAGTTTTAGCCTTAGGAAGTGATAAAACAAAACGCGATTGGCATGAATGACATTGACATTTTTAACACATGACAGATGATTCCAGACAAATTATCTTTTTGAAGACTAGGCAGCATGGTCTCCGACCTTAGCCTGTTCCAAACGGAACAAACGTACTAAAAAAAAAAAAAAAAACATGACAGATGTTCGTACTTGAAATCTCGAGCATTTCACAGATGGGATCTTAAAAATAGGTGTTGAATTTACAGTTTTGTTTTTATTAAAACATGTAAATTAATAACGGAGATAATAAACTGACGATAAAAACGTCTCATATGCCCCACATGGGGTCTTTAGCTATGGATAGCGTTTGTATGAATCATTACGAAAAACAGCTGTACACTGTGTTTAAGACCTTCGACGTAGATAATGAGGAAGCTCTAGACAGATCAGCAGTATTGAAACTGTGTGACGCGTTACAGCTAGAAGATCGCGGGTCTGCGCTAGTTGACACACTTTTTGAGCGCTGTTCTGAACGTGTCACCTTCACACAATTCCGCAACGGCCTTCTTTCTGTACTCGGGGGTGGAGAGACTACGCCATCCTCATCACCTAAGCACATTGCGACCGATACATCACAGACTTTAGCATCGACGGCTCCCTCCAGTGCTACTGTAGTTCCCGTTTCTTCGCACAGTGACGACGATTCTTCAGGACGCGAAGTCGCCCCAAAATTTGTATTTGGCTCAAAGAAATACGGCCGCCGCTCAAGGCCCCAACGTTCATCTGCTATGTCGGATGATACGCATACACCAAGGGCTGCTTCAGTTTCAAGACTTGACAGTGATAATAAAAGAGCTAGAAGCTCTCAACGAATGAAATGCAGACGGAGTGCATCTGCAATGGATAATCGCAATCATGAATTAAACTATGATGATGAAACTACACATGGTGATTTTGAACATGATAGACGTATTGACTGTGAACAAGCACTTGCATTATGTTGTGAACTACGGATGGATGGCATAGATCGTAGACTTATTGAACGCATATTTGAAGAGTCTCCTTCTGCAGAAACTACTGTGGGTGAATTCTTTGAGCGTCTTAATGTGTCATTGACATCATCAATTGAGGGTGCACAGGATACAAGTACTGCAACACCACTGAATAGTGATTATGTAATTGACCATGAGACGGGTATTCCTAGTATGTTGGTTATTGAAGCATGGGAAAATGCAGGTGTGCCTCGTCCACGGCGTTTAATGTTGGAATTAGGATTTACAAGTTCAGTAGTTCGACCACCTGATATAGAGCATGCACTTGAAGATGAAATCCGAGCTCTACCTGAACCATTAGATGATAGAAGAGATGCACATACAATGCTGTTAGTAGCTGCTTTAGAACTTGCACGCCTTAGACTAAAGTTTGCAAAACAGCGTGCAGATGTCACTGCTGCTGAACGAGATAAATTACGAGCTGATGTAGCAGAGGCGAATAGACGGGCATGCTTATTGGCACAAGATGTAGACGAAAGTCATGCTCGAATGGAAGCCGAACTAGCAGCGAATGTTCGAAGAGCAGAGTCAAAGCATGCAGAAGCTGCAAAAATCGCCGCAGCTGAAATTGCAGCTGAACGCGAACGTGCTGCTGCTATCAAAGTCCTACAAGAAGCGGAGTTGGCGCGACGTGCAGAGAATGAGGCGCGATTACGCACTGAAATAGAGGTTCAAACGTCACGGATCTTAGAACTTGAGACTAGGGCAGCAACAGCTGAAAATCGCGCGTCGTTGGCGGAGCGGGAAGCAATACGTCTAGCATCAGAGCTGACAGAAGCTACAGCTAGTCTGAATCGCAAACAGGGTGCAGTAGATGCTGGGGTAGAAGATGCATCAGCTACAGAGTTGGCAGCACGGCTCGACGACTTACGTCGCGAGAACAAGTTGCTTCGCGACCGAAACGATGAATTGTGCTGTGCGTTGGAGGCAAGGGCGCGCGAAGGGGAGGTGCCGCCTGTTGCCTACGGAGATTTATCGGCCGAGCTGGGGTCACTGCTGACATCCCAACATGCTGAGGTAAGTTTATTACGCAAAAATATAATATCCAATCTAATATACCAATGAATCGAAAGGTACCATATAAATGGCGACTGTTATAATAAAAATGTAGGAATTGAAAAGTTTAATTTTTGTAGTAGCACTACTTTTTAAAATTAAGTAGACAGAATAAACCTTCGTTTCTATCAATTTAGTCAAATAATAGTGATAAATATCATCTATAGGCTAGTTTAAATCCGGTTCAAAGGACCAAAAATGCAAATAAATAATAGGCTATTATTTATTACAATGACGACTGCTCAACAAAGATGGTAGACCAGTTCTTAGATCAGCCTTTTTATCATGAAAAATATAAACATCATCATCATCATCATCATGTTAACCCTAACAATATTTAAAATATTTCATACATTAATTTGATGTTAGATTATATTTTTAACTTTTTAAATAATGTGTATATAATACGAGGTCTGTCCGGAAAGTTCGTATAAAAGTGTTCTGGAATGCGAGAAAGAGGAGTGGGGAGGCCAGGTAAGCGCAGGACCCCTTCCTTATGTCCCTAACAATGCTTCAGTTCTGGTCTGACCGCCGTGCGGTGCGAACTGGCTTGTCACGCCATCTGTGAAGTTACCTCTTAACGAAACCCCGTCGGCATGGAGCCCGCTTCCGTTGAAGAGCAGCGCGTCGTAATCAAGTTTCTCTCGAAACTCGGCAAGAATGGCCGTGAAAGCAAAGAGTGGAAGACATCCGGGGAACCACGAACAAAAAAATCAAGAAAATCCCGCTCAAATGTCAAGACAATGTTGATTGTTTTTTTCGATGTTCGGGGGATTGTCCATCAAGAATTCGTCCCTCCAGGCCAGACAGTTGATGGAAAATTCTACGTCGATGTGCTCAGACGCCTCAAAGCTCGTGTGGCACGAGTTCGTCCAGAATTGGCGCGAGAGGGGCGTTGGATTCTTCACCACGACAATGCCCCTGCCCACACCTCTCTTGTTGTCCGTGAGTTTTTGAGTAAAAATTCCATTACGGTGACCGAACACCCCCCCTACTCGCCGGATTTGGCCCCGTGTGACTTCTTCTTGTTCCCAAAAACCAAATTGGTACTTCGGGGGCGGCATTTGGGGGACATAAATGAGATAAAAAAAGCTACGACGGGGCAGCTGAGAAACCTACAACCAGAGGACTTTCAAGGAGCCTTCTCACAGTGGAAACGGCGTTGGCACAAGTGCATTATGTCACAGGGGGAGTACTTTGAAGGGGATAAAATTGATTTACCTGAATAATTGTAAAATAAAATTTTTAAAAAACTTTTATACGTACTTTCCGGACAAACCTCGTATGTACCGAATTTAACTTGATGTTCCCTAACAGTTTAATTGTCACTGTCCATCAATCATATAACAACCACTTATTATAATTTATTTATTATTCAATAATAAAGAAATGGTCAAAGCTTTAATATTTTAAAATAATTTATTATTTACATATTTTTTTGATGACATTTTAGGAATGTGACTCATCACCAACCAGCATCGATCAGAAAGTGATTGGACACACTGAGGCAACTAGGCGATTGCGCTCTATATTTGACAGCGTTCAGGCAATGCCGTCGCCAGCGAAGAATGAATGCCAGTCATGCTCCACTCTAGAAGCAGTCATCGCTGGAATACAGATGAAAGTTAGGGAATTGAGTGACTGTGTTATCCTGATGGAAGAAGCGGAAATGCCCCTCTACGCCACTACTGAGGCTTCCGTTCAAACAGAACCTTTATCAGAACTTACCTCAAACACAAAATCAGAAGGAGTTAATTTGATTAAAGAAATGGATACATTAAAGGAGCAACTCGCCGAAGCCGAGCGGAGGCACAATGACGAAAAACAGAAACAATCTGAATTAATAAAGTGAGTATTTTGTTTCTGTATATAATGAACATGGAGTGTAAAAAACTGACTCCAAACAGATCTGATGTTAGTTTGTACTTTTTTTTTTAAACAGAAAATGCATGCATTTTTCATTATTGCAAGTAATATGTGTATTTTGATATTCCTATTTACACATACATACATACATTGCCTAAAAGCATATGTCTACATAACATCTATAATATATTAATACACAAGTTGGTTATATTTGGTAAAGTGTTTGTAGAGAATTTATTTACGTTTTGTTTTTTATCTACGCATAATTAAGTGTGGAAATTATTTGTTATTTTTTCTTCGTTATATCCTCTTCTTTAAATGGTTACATTTAACATTCACAGAGAACTGGAGACCAGTTTGGAGCAAATGAAATCCGAATACGACAAGTGCGAGGAGTACTGGAACAACAAGCTGGAGGAGGAGCGCGACATGTACAACGAGGAGCAGCGGCTCGGCGACGAGCGGCTCGCCGAGCTCGTCGCCAAGATCTCCGAGTACGAGCGGCAGTTCGCGCCCGCCGGCGGCACGCTGCCCACCATCGAGGAGCGCTGCGGCCTCGAGGCGCAGGTCGCCGACCTCGAGGAGGAGTTCGCTACGTATCGAAAAACTAAGGAGGAGGAGCTCCGCGTGCGGGACTCGGAGATAGCGCGGCTCACCGAGCAGATAGAGGCGCTGCAGAGGCGAGTGGAGGCCGCGAGCGGGCCAGAGGGCCGGCGGCGGCGCGGCGGCGGCAGCGGCGGCAGCGGTAGCGGCGGCGGCGGCGGCTGCGGCGGCGGCGGCGCGGCGTGCTCGTGCGCGTCGCTGGCGGAGCGCTGCCGGCGGCTGGCGGCGGAGCGCGGCGCGGGCGCGCGCGAGGCGGCGGCGCTGCGCGCGCGGGCGGCGCGCGCCGAGGGGCTGGCGCGGCGCCTGCACGCGCGGCTCGCGGCCGCCGACCTGCTCGTCAAGGACCTGTACGTCGAGAACTGCCACCTCGCGCACCGCCGCCCGCTGTGACCGCCCGCTGCGCGTCCGTATGTATCATTCCATGTCAATACGTAGGCCTAGGGTTCCGCCGGTGACCGGCGACCGCCGACCGACGACGACTGTGTTGTGATAATGTATCGTATTTAATGTTTGTTACTGTTTAGCGGTGTGCTGATCGCTGACGCTGCCCGTAACTTATTCCTATGTTATTACGTATTTGTGTAAATAATCGAAGTTTACAGTGAGACGATTCTAGAAATAGTAGCCGTATCTCCCTCGCGGGGACTTGTTGACTAGATGAAGTTATGACGAATAAATAAATGTATATCAAATTAATAGGTGCCATCCAAAATACAAAATCCGATTCTATATAATTAATACGTTTGTAGCATTTTGTGGTAGCCTTTGTGCAATCTCGGTTTATTATTTAAAACATGCCTCTGAACGCACTATTTCGTTTCGGTCAATCTTCAAACTTAAGTTTTTTGGCAGCTTGATTGATTAGCGACTCGTGGAATTTAAAAGCACTGAAGTAAATGATGAATGCTGTTTACGATGCAAGCGTGACACAGTAGGTGATAGTGTACTCTGGGCAAACTCAATGTCTAGCTGTGAAAAATAGCATCATGTATTATGTGTATATAATACATCATATGTGTACTGAATATAGCACGCACGGCTCACTGTAACATAGTCACATCTGCGCCTTGTAAGTCCTTGCATATAATTTTTAGCCCCTAATATTTTGTACGGCTTTACATATCTGCAGAATTATTGCCTTTTCTTCAATGATAAAGTCAAATAATGTACGAACGTGCCTTTTAATGTTACGAGAATTATTATTATAGTTAGAAGTAATAAACACATTTGTTTTTCGCCCGCTATGAGTGTGGCATTATACGAAGCATAAAGTTCAAGCTATACGAGACTCACGGTGCGGAAGGAGTTGAGGGGCGAGGGGAGGGGGAAGGCTTATTAATTTTTTCAGTTATTGAAAATATAATTTCACACAATTAGCAACATGAAATAAACTCTTTTAAAGAGTCGGTATATAGAATTAATAGTAATGTAAAGTACGGTATTCCAGACCTTTTCCCCTATAAGAGCTCTAAAACTGCTCACTGAACGAAACTTGGCCATATAGACGTTTAATTTTTAGTCATACATAATGTTATCCCCTACCTCCCCCCCCTCATGCTAATATCTATCGTGAAGTTTCTATTAGCAGTTTACAATTATTTTTTAACATAAAAATATTAATACTTGTTCCTCTTAATTTTAATAATGTTGCCTGATCTATAAAATATAAATGTTGCTACATTAAAACTTTGTCGTGGAATTTTGTCGCTAGGTACCTTGGATCGGTTTTTGTGTCAAGTACCTAAGTGACAGCACTGAGCTACTATGATATTGCCAAAATTACGCGACCAGAAGTTTACACGCCATTTTTACGCACGATACGATTTTTACTTTTGGCGACGCCGACGTAATTTTATCAGAATGTTTATCTACGCTCTAAAATAGCAAGCACCGAAAAGTGTAATGGTTTTTCATATAAATTAGCCAGGGAGATTAGAAATAAGCAATAGAATCCAAGTCGGAAATTTTTAAATATATTGTCTGATATTATTTATTTTTAATTAATTCTACAATATTTATTATTTGTACAAATCTCACAACACAAACTGAATGATTTAAAAAAAGATGGCTGAACAAATTTTCACGTAACTTATAAAGATATATCATCTTTATCAGAATCATTTTTATTCAGAAAATAACATAATTGCCCAATTTTTTTTTCGTATTAAAACAATACCGAGTTTCGAGCAAAGAAAAAGCATTGTGTGCGTAAATATGGCTAACTTTGCTTGCGTAATTTTGGCAAGTGTATCGTTAAAGTTACTAGACAGAATCTGTGATTGAATCGGAATCGATGTAAATTCCTTGTATAAAAGACAAAATTGCATTTAGTGTTTAGTTTTGATTATGAAACATCAGTGAGATTTCCCATTTGCTCAAGAAACTTTTTCTTCGATGGCTATAAAAAAATATTAATTATTTCAATGGAATTGACGTGTGTTTAGTTTCTTTGGTGATGAATTCCTAATTTGAAAGTAATTAACATACTTTAAATAGGTTTTACACTTTTATGAATGTAACGCCAAATGTCCTCAATTGTGAGTAAGTTTTTCTGTTACGTTTTAACGGCCAATCTGCTGGACTGATATGGATGAAATTTGACTGAAAAATAGTCTGAGGTCCAAAACGGACATAGGGTTTAGAAATGCAATCAATATTTCAATAGGACAAAGTTGAGAGTACAGTTTTTTGTAATTTTATATGAATTATTAGTTAGTGGACAAATTTACAATGAACATCATACATTTTCTTTAATATTTAATGAATTTTGTAAGTATGTAAATGGCTACCATCTTTACCCATCCTCCTATAAATTAGAGATTCATTCTAATTTATTATACACTTAGTATTTGGGACTGAGAAGCTCATATACTACTTTTCATCCTGGTCTTTCAATATGTCCCAGTCATGTGGACGAAGTCGCGGGCATGGCTAGTGTAATAAAAAAATAATCTATGGGGTCCAATTTGCTTATATTTATACTGTATACATATAAAGTCAGATTGTGTAAAATCGTTAATTATAAATACCATAAAGTCTACATAAAGGTTTTTCTATGGCTCTCTCAATATGTTTTGACACATTTCAAATAAAATATCTCTTAGTTTTGACAGATTTTTAAATCAAACTGTAATGTTATAATTAGTATTATTTCTTTATCTTTCTATGGAACTTTGTTAATTTAAGTACATTTTTTTTTCCTCGATTTTGTATCGAAGTAACGATTTGTCCATAAACTAATATTGGCGATACCCTCTGATCATGCTATCTTTATAAATTATGCATTTTATGTAGTGATACATTTAATATAATGCAGTGTAATCAACGAGATACGATTACACGTCGCTTAATAGTGAATGCATAAAAAATCAACCTCATATTTACAAACATTTCTCAAATTTAAAAATGGCTCATGAATATTTTTGTAGCAAACTATGTGAAGGCTCATTTCGTATTGTTTATTTATTAAAATTGTCTACGAATGATACGATACACACGATCGGTAAAGCCGAGTTCATTATGTCATTAACTTGAATAACCAAGTTGTCTTATTGGCTTGTCAATTGGTATGTTCTTATCACAAATTTATATAGATCTTGCGGCGGGGAGATAGGATTGTTGATAACGTCAGGTCGACTTCCCATCGTCTAAATACAGCATGAGTTACTGGAAACTTACGTGGTTATTTTTTTTTTGTCTTTGTTTTTATGCAACTTAGAATAGCAAACAAGCTGACGGCCCACCTGATGGAAAGTGGTAACTGTCGCCTATAGACATATATTTAGAAACTATCGTAATTCTTGGTGAATTTATCACAAAGGGCCAAATGATTTGACTTCTCTCACTGGTGCCCTGTCACTGTGTACTTATAGTATTCATGGGATTACCATTCTTTTCAACTAAGTTAAAAAAGAAGGAGCTTTTCAATTCGATTGTATTTTTTTAGGTTTGTAATTAGAACTCCGTCAATTATCAACTGGTGGTCTACCATGAAATGAAATTCCGAAATTTCTGGCTCAATTTCGTGTTTTTGTTCATACCAAAATCGACCCAGTAAATGGAGCTTAACATTTTGTTCATCATAAATCCTTTTCTAATAGTCAAAAGAAACGATATCTTAATATTTTTAATAATTTTAAACAGCATGTATTATGTAATTTTAACATCAAATTTCTGTTTCGACCGTCCCGGAAATTTGAAATTTTTTCTTTTCTAAAACGATGTATTTACAGGTTTGTCCCATAGACATTTTATCAAAACCGGTACAGTAGTATAGTTTTAAAATAAAAATAATTATTTTTGCCACAATGTTTTACTTTTGATACTAAATTAGGCCATATAGAGCCTAATTTGCGTTTTGAAGTTCCTACATGAAATGAATGCAAAAAAAAAATTGCAGAATTGATAAAAACAGCAAGATGGTTATTGTAATATCTACGTATTCTTATTCTAAATTTTGTCGTCTAAAAGGAAAAAAAAAGAAAAAAATAAATATCAACGTAGTATCTGTGGTCCAGTTCTGCAGTTCCATATCGTATCGTTTGTAGACAACTTAACTAGTGTAATATAAGTAGATAATGTAGAATTTTGTGGGTATATTAAGTGCCTAGTCCTCTGTTGACACATTCGATAACTGAATTTGTTAATTTTGTTTAGATATGTTTCAATGTATTCCTATCTATGTGTTAACAACGTAATTAATAACAATTGCTTATAGTTATTAGTTATACACGCTGCGTTTTGTTTAATATATAAATATATTCATTGTGTACGTAGAATTGTAAAAAAAAAAAAATCTAGTGGTTCTTAAGAACCTAAATTGTAGACTCTTCCTCTGAAGGAAGTATATCAGTATGAGGTTTAGAACAGGTGGTCTACCATGAAATGAAATTTCGAATTTTCGGGCTAAATTTCGTGTTTTTGTTCGTACCGAAATCGACTCAATAAATGGAGCTTAACATTTCGTTCAAAATAAATCCTATCCTTATAGTCCAGAGGAACGATATTTTAACATTTTTAATAATTTTAAACTGCATGTATTATGTAATTTTAACATCAAATTTCTGTATCGTTCGGCCTCGAAATTTCGGAAAACATTTCATGGTAGGCCCTCTGATCCAAGTCGGATTTATAATAACCTTATACAGCATTAAAAATTAATCTACATGTATTTATGCTCTCATTATGAACAATTGACCTATTCAATACTTAATGACTTCAAGTCGATCAGTACTCAAATTAGAACTCCACTATTTTTATAATCTTTGTTGTTATATTTACTTATTATATTTACATAATTAAATGGAACGTATCGAATAAAAATGACAAGTATGACGAGGCAATGGCGTACCCCATTGTCATTAGAATTACGATCTTAATAATTTACTTCATTTTTCTTTTTCATTCAATAATATAATTAAAATATTTATCCCTAGTAGGTATGTGTTTATGTTAGCTGGACTGACTACGACTCCGCATTATGCTTTGAATAAAAAAAAAAAATTGTATTAACTTTTAAAAACTAATCAACAAATTTAACCTCAGTATCGATACTGGTTAATTTTGCTAGTCACTGAATGGGCGAGGAATATGGCCACTGTGCCTTATCCAGTACTGAATGCAGGTGTAACCTCGGTTGCTAACTGGTTCCCACGGCGGACTTAAGGCGGGCTGCATGGTCGCGCCACGACAGACCGTGGGATCTCAGTGTAAACTTTATGGTAATTGGAGAGAATTTCTTTTGCTTTACTTTGCCTTGAATGCAGTATGCCGTGACCACACTTAGTGCCTTGCAGTTATGAACTTTCTCATTGTTGAATTATTATCAACTTCGTTCAGAAGAGCAATAGTTGTGCGACGTGGGACTTGCGACCTCATTGTGGGTATTATATTTATGTTCGTACCCACGCTTAAGTGTCTATGCCTATACCTACTATCTCGAAAAGTTACAATAGAAGTGTAATAAGGCGACCGGTTCACGAGTTCACCATGTAAATAATTTCCAACTGCGATTTCTTCTATATTATCTATTTAAGTCCAACGTGTGGTCACCATACGCATGAAATTGTTATCTAAGTATTTTAAAGTTAATATATTTATAGTTTTCGAATGCAATACATTAATTCATCCCAGAGCGTAAGGAAATGTTTAGTGATTCTTGTATATCTCATTTGTAATCCTATCTTGGTTGGTCCTGTAAATTTTTAATTTTTTTTTTATATATGGTAATAGTCTTGGCATGCCATTTTTTTTAAACTGTTAACATTAAACAATAAAATAGACAAAAATAAAGTTATAAACAATTAATACAAAAACCTTTTTTATTCTAGTTATTTGCCCTTTTTATCCGTTTCAAATTTAAAGCCACGCCAAGATTGTTCGAATGGTAAAAATCGTCTTAATCCAAGTGGTCTTAATAAAAACTGATTACACATTTACACGTATTGAAAATGTTTTTTTTTATAAATTATTTAAGGCAGAGACCTTACACAACTAATGCTATTATTAATCACTTTGTATTCACTACGTTTACATAAAGAGATGGCTATCAAATTAAAGATAGGCATATCATTTATCAGGGTTATATTATTGAGTACGATAGTAAATGGTTATTATTAAGTCAGCTAATTGCAGCCTACTTGCGGATTTGTTACCTTTTTACTGTATGGTATATTCGATCTGGCCATAGTTTGTGTTATTGTGTTTATATTAAAGTGTTGATCCATATTTTGGTGTTTTTTTTTTTTATTTTATTACAGATACTTATGTAGATCCTTTACGTGTTGCATGTGTTGATTTACCACATTTTAATATTTTGAAAAGTTTCAAAGATAAAACAAACGATCAGACGATCGTAAAACTAGTCGAGGTTACTGGTGACCTAAGAGCTGGTAGCTACTTTGCACAAAAGGTAAATTTAGCGATCCATAGAGGTAATGTTGCCAGTATCTTGGGTACGCTACCTCAGTGTGGTGTGTTGGGAGACTATTTATAATTAGTTGTAAGTGTTGTTATTTAAAAATTTTTATAAGTTTAAATTATTGTGTGTATATGTATAAATGAATTCAAGGAGATAATAGACCACTAAACATAAAATATATTTATGTAATAATAAATAAATACGTTTGCAATATAATAATATCAACTTGAATAGTAATAATATTCATATGATAATTATTACAATAATAGACATTATTGATTGTAAAGAACCATTAGAATCGGTTCAGAATTGCTGAAGATCTCCTGTAAAGCACCTAAACAATTGTAACTCCTTTTGAAGTCAGTTAAAAATAACGTTATTTTAAAACTATGAACAACAATTAAATTAGGAATTACAGTACATGGTTTTATGTTCACGTTCTAATTGTTCTAAAATTAAATTATTTTTTTTTATTTTATTTGGCAGTTGATGGTGGCTCTACCAAGCAAGTAGTTCGAGTCGACTGTTAAAAATAAAACAACGTATCTTTTTTAACATTTATTCACAAACTCAAACTTTGTATAAACAACTCTTCGGACATCTCATAAACAAACGATTTCTCTATGATATTGACCAATATTATAGATAGTAACACTACAATTAAGTAGATACATAACTATATATACTTAATTATTTTGATAGAGTTTTAGGCTCGTACAAAATGCGATGAAAAAGGCAATGTCAATTATCTAGGTAAGTAAGAATCTAATATAAACTTTTATATCAATTTTTTTTTTAATAACAATTTGTTTCATAATATTTTAAAGATTATTAAATACCTAGTTACAAACATTCGTTTCTATAAATTAGATTTTCGATCGCATTCACACTAAAAGACACTCAAATCATAAGTAAAATAGAACTGAAAGTGCAATGAGATAAAATTGGCCTTTATTTACCTCTCAAACGAATTACTATAATTTGTCTACTTCACTATCATCATTAGCAAAACCTATCCGTTGTAAAAGGCTTTTTATAATTTAGTTTTAAATTGTCATAATCGAATTAAGCAGATCTTGAGATTAAGTTACTAAAGCAGATCATTAAAGAAAATATAATTATTTTTAAATATAATTATTTTCCTTATATTTTATGTCAAAAATTTTTTACTAAATAAGTATATACAGTGAGTGTAGAAAGTATTCGTACACCTAGGGTTGTAATAAAAAAAATACGAATTTGATAGACTTTCTTTTATTTATCTAATTTAAATCAATACTATTAAATATTTTAACATTCCCGCACTTAGTTTATGATAATTTTTGTTTTTTAAAAAAAAAATTATACAACTTAAAAATATTTTTACGTTAACTAAGCAAATAATGACAAACAAAAAGTATTCGTACACTTATAAAATTTGTAAGTAAATGAATATTAAAAAAATATTAATACTTTGTTGGACCACCGTTAGCATTGATGATAGCTTGGAGTCTCTGCGGCATCGAATCAACTAGTTTGAAAATATAAGAAGACGGTATCACTGTCCATTCTTCGCGAAGCGCAATTTTTAGTGTTTCTTTACTCGAAATTGGTCGATTTCGAATTTTATTATCAAGATAATCCCACACATGCTCTATAATATTAATATCAGGTTATTGAGGAGGAATCTCTAGGTATTTTGGAGCGTTAAACAGGATCCATGCTTTAATATTCCATGCTTTATGTTTAGGGTCATTATCTTGTAAAAATATCCAATTATTGTTAAAACCCATTTGAGCTGCACTAGAGAGAAGATTCTCTTTTAAAATATTAATATACGTTTTGTGATCCCTAATTCCATCAATAAATGCAAGTTTTCCCACCCCAAAAGCACTCATGCAACCCCATACAAATACTGACCCACCACCGTGTTTTACCGTTGGACATAAATTTTCTTTCTTATATTCCATATTAGGTTTTCTCCATACCATATGATGTCCATCCGATTTGAAAATATTATATTTCGATTCATCTGAGTAAATAACAGTTTGCCAAAAATGATTTTTTTCATTAATATATTTTTTTGCGAATTCTAATCTTTTTTTTCTATTAATATCATTTACCCAATACTTTTTACGCGCAGTTCTTCCATGATAATCGTTACTACGTAATACGTTCCGAACGGTACTGACAGAAATATGGCAATCATTGATATTATTAATTTCTTGTAACACTCGAGCGGCACTAATTTTTGGATTTTTTTTTACACAATTTAAAAATTTCTGATCCAATCGAGGCGTGATTTTTGATGGACGCCCCACCTCTGGGTTTGTTTTTTAGTGTTTTAGTAATAGAAAATCGATCAATTACAGTCTGTACGGTTGAACGTGGTCTATTGACAAATTTTGCAATTTCACATAATGATTTGCATTGATTATGCAAATTAATAATTATTTTTCTCTCCTCTTCACTCGTTTCTTTTGCTTTACGACCATTTTTGTAACTAAACACGTCTATACTTGTCACGAGTGCAACTAAAACGTCTAATATCTATACCTACGTATTAAAAATGACCTTGGCATTGTAGGCATATGAAAAATTCGATTGAATAAATGATTTATACAGAATTTCATTTAAAAAAGAATGAATGTACGAATACTTTTTGTTTGTCATTATTTGCATAGTTAACGTAAAAATATTTTTAAGTTGTATAATTTTTTTTTTAAAAAACAAAAATTATCATAAAAAAGTGCGGGAATGTTAAACTATTTAACAGTATTGATTTAAATTAAATAAATAGAGGAAAGTCTATCAAATTCGTATTTTTTTTATTATAACCCTAGGTGTACGAATACTTTTTACACTCACTGTATATGTTCAAGAATATATAAAAAAAATATTAGTTATGTAATTTCCGTTACTTACTCTGTAAACGAGTTACCTATATACCTACCTAGCTTTATCGCCATCGACAGCGTTAGGTGCGATACGTGAATATGGTTTTCTGTCATAAACCATATTACTGTTCGTGCACTAATGATAAACAGCCCAGTAGCTATCAAAATTAGCCGATTGCTACTGCGTACAGCTGCACGTAATTGATTGGATCAACCACGGATCAACTGTACCTTAATTTGCAAAGACATAACCTATTCGATTGTCTATGACAGAACGGTTACAATTATAAAAAAAAAAAAAAATATTAGTACAAAATATACCATAGCGATTACTTGCTCTGTAGTGCGATATACAAGTAAAAACAATTTGGAATGGATAATAATAAAGATAAATTAATTTCATTAAAATTAAGTAGGCATGTAAAACTTTGTTTATGGACAAAAGACTATTCGTATTTTTTTTTAATGGGTGATAATGGAATGGTAACCCCGCCTGCGCTATCGGGATACGCTGGCGGAGCACCAGTGAAGGATGATAGGTGAGGATGAAGTAGGTCAGTTAGCCCATCATGACGAATTCAACAAGAATTGTTCACGATGGTTTCCAGGAGGAACCACGTGGAGATCGACCTAATAGGCTATATTGCTAGCAATGGGGCTGTCAAACTCCATTGCTAACAATCCCTTTAGAAGACTAGATATGAATGCGTTTCACGTTTTCATGACCCAAATTTTATCGCTAACAAAAATAAAATATTGAACTTAAAGAATTATCAAGAGCTTTGACTAATTCATTGATTTTGTTAAGTTTATATAATTATTTGTAACTTTTCTGATGTATTTGGAAATAGAGATATGGCTAGTATAAATATTAGTAGTAGGGTAACTTCATAAATCACATACCTCACAACACGCGTCATCCATTCATACTGAAACTCTTTAGATAAATCTTTTCTATGTCTATTTTTCTTTCGCCAAATCAGCAACACAGCAGATGAACTGTCTTTCAATTAAAAATAAACCATATTTTTTCTGTTGATTTTTCATGTCTTTAAAGTATACGCAATGCAATCCTGGTATACAACCTCTTTGGATAAGTGACAAGCGAATCTATCGTTAGGTATGTTTTCCTTTCTGCATGCCAGTTCATAGATCCCAAGGTCGAATCTCGTACTCTGAATCTACATATTGATATTTTGGACAAAAAAAATATTGTCCCTTCTGATTGTAAAGGCGTCGTCCAGTAAGGCATATCTTAGTTTAGTTCCTAACGTCGTTTTACACGAAGGTGGCCTTGAAATTCTTGATATGAAAGGAAGATACCTTGACACAAGTAGTAGTTGTAACTTTTACACGCATGACAAAGAAAAAGGCTCCAGATGTTGCTATCTCATTCTATCTCGTGCATACGACAGCGATAACGTATCTATCGATATCGCTTGCCACTTGTCCAGAGCAACGGGGCAGGTTTCTGATGTCTGTGCAACTGGTCCCAGTGTGTGCCTACAGGTACATGCCGTTGACCAGGTAGTCAGCGTCGTGGGCGAAAGGTGACTTCCCCCGTCGCAGCCGCCGCCGCGCTGCACGCGCCCTGCACCCCACCATTGCGGCCATCACCGTCGTCATAGCGATACCTTGAGATGAAGAATTCAATACAATCGTAAGTTTTTGTGGTGCATAAGTGATGATGAAATGGCTTACCCCGTCTATGCTATCGGTATACGCTGGTGCGCTGCACCAACAGATAACATATTGAGGGATGATAGGTGAGGGTGAAAGAAAGTCAATCAAAGGCTCATCGTGATGAATTCGTCAAGAATTAACCGCGAGGATATTTTCATGGGGACTGCGTAAACTGGATATATATATATATATATATATATATATATATATATATATATATATATATATATATATATATATATATATATATATATATTTATATAATTTAGAATGGCAAACAAGCTGACGGCCCACCTGATGGAAAGTGGTAACCGTCGCCTATAGACATGAGCAGTACCATGGACATAACAGAGTATACTGTTTCCCCCATACGTTGCCATTCCTGAGGACTCAGGTTTTATTCCTCTGTACCCAGTAAATTCACGCTATATCCTACCCTTCAAACCAAAACACAGCCATGCAAACACAACTGCTTCACGGTTTAAACACGAATGGGACAGAGGTACCCAAGCAAACGACTTTTGCACAAAGTCTCCCTCTGGTAATATTACTAGCAATGGTGTCACTTGTCCCAGTTTTCTATATGTCAATGGTCTTAAACATTTTTATTTAGTCGACTTTCATAATTCAAGTAAAGTTTCGCCGTGTGGTCTTGGCATATAATAGGCTCTTCCTTCCTTTCCCGTGGGAGTAACAAGAGACGACTAAGGAAGGGCAAGGGATGGGCAACAGCGTCCTTCTTAAAACATCACCAAATCCTAACTGCGGTTGTCAACCCGCCTGCCATGCGTAGCAACTACTGTCACCCCCCCCCCCCCCCCCCCTTATAGGGCAGACTTATGTTCAGCAGTGGACAGTTAACGATAATGAAAATATAACTGATATGACGATGGTAATGAAGTAAAAGTGGCTATGAGCTGGTGTGATGTGGGCAGGTTGTACTCACCGAGCACAAGCAGCAGAATGGCGGCGGGCGGGTGCTCGCTGAGCCCGTCGTGGTCGTCGGCCGCGTAGTGCTCGTGGACCGCCGCGGGCTCCAACGCCGGTCCCGCCGCCGCCCCGGCCCCGCCTCGACCACTACCCGCCGCGGTCGTGCCGCCGCCAGCCGGGGCTCCGCTACCTCGTGACGCACTTGCCTCAGACTTTGACGACGTTGAAGTCTGAAACAACGGGTGGTGGGAAGACTTATTAGTAATGGGGTATAACATATTGCTGGTAATGTATCCCAAAGAGCGTTGACGTCAGGCAGGCAGCCGGTCGTAAAACTATAAGCCAAATCTTTCTGTAATATGGATAAAAACATGTTACGCCGACCCCAAATAATAATTGGGATAAGGGCAGAAAGATGATGATGAGACGATGATGTATCCTATCAGATCGCTCTCCGCATGGTTACCTTTAAAACCGTCATCGTTAGTACCTAATAAACTCGTAATGATGTGCTTACTGACTTGCTTTCATCCTCACCTATCGTCATTCACTGATGAGTATCAGTGAGCGTTTACCAATAGGTATATGTGGTAGTGCCATTCCATTTCCATCCCATTATAAAAGTTTAAATAGGGCCATCTGATAATAAGCAACCATCGTGGGGGAAGGGCTTGTTAGTAATGCGGACTACCAGTACCGTTACTAACAATATACCCTGTCAGCTCGACTTCACCATGGTCTCTCTGGAAATTGCCGTGCTAAATTCCAGGTGTATTCATTACGACTTTTTTTTTAAATAGATATATAGATGATGGACGATAATGGTAACCCCGCCTGCGCCGGGGGGAAGGGATTGTTAGCAATAGAGTTTGACAGCCCTATTGCTAGCCCTATTAGGTCAACCTCCGCGTGGTTCCCCCTGGAAACCATCGTGAACAATTCTCGTTGAATTCGTCACGATGGGCTAACTGACCTGTTTCATCTTCGTCTATCATCCTTCACTGGTGCCCTATCAGCGTATATCGATAGCGCGGGTGGGGTTACTATTTCATCTATAAAAAAAAACCCCGCCTGCGCTAACGGTATACGTTAGCGGGGCACCAGTGAGGGATGATAGGTGACAACGAAAAGGCAGGTTAGTTAACCTATCGTGATGGATTCACTTGGAATAGAACACGACAGTTTCCAGGAGGAACCGCAGAGAGGTCGATCTGACAGGGTGTATTGCTAACAATGGGGCTACTAATCTCAATTTTTAACAATCCCTTATCCCCTCCATTACGATAGGTTAACTGACTTGCCCTTTCATTCTCAATTATCAGCTCTTACTGGCTGCTCCGCCAGCGCAGGCCTATATCGTTAGCTCAAGCGGGTTACACAGTACCCTTCATGCATCATCAACCAAATCTTTCAAGTTAAGGTATTATACTTTCCGTAACCTGTAATTTTTTTTATTATCCCACTCTTCAAACCGAACCTCCATTACTTCTATTACGTACTCGTATTTTCCTTTTTTTTTTTATATATACTTCTTTATTTTCTCTTTTTTTGTCTCTGTCTTATTTATTTATGTCTATATCTCTTTTTATTTGTATGATGCAAATGCTGTACCTTGCTCTATGGTCCTGGCATACAGTAGGCCATCTTTTCCTTTCCCGTAGATACCGTAAGAGGTGACTAAAGAAATTTAAAGGTCGAGGGATGGGCAGCAGCGTCCCTCTTAAAATATCACTAAAGCCTAACTGTAATTGTCAACCCGACTGCCAAGCGTGGCAACTACTGGCACAACCCACAAAGGGGGCTTATGTTCAGCAGTGGACAGACGGCTGATATGATCAAGTGATGTAAATAAATTATATATTTATATAAGCACAGCTGCTTTCAGAAAACGAATGGGCAGAAATGTTACGATATAATAATATGCAGATGGCCTACATATATACAAATCCTATCCGTTTTAATGTAAGTCATGACAATATCCCAGAGGGAGACTTTGTACAAAAGTGGTTTGCTTGGGTACCTCTGTTCTATTCGTGTTTCAACCGTGAAGCAGTTGTGTTTGCATGGCTGTGTTTCGGTTTGAAGGGTGGGATATAGCGTGAATTTACAGAGTACAGCGGAATAACATCTGAGTCCTCAGGAATGGCAACGCATGGAGGGTATCATGTCCGAAACAGTATACTCTGCTATCTCCATGGTACTGCTTTTGTCTATAGGCGACGGTTACCACTTTCCATCAGGTGGGCTGTCAGATTGTTTGCCATTCTAAGTTGTATAAAAAAAAATTGTCATGGCTGTTTGTTAAAATGTTTTTCCATATTATAGTAAACAAGAGAGTCTTACTTTTTCAGGAATCACTTTTTTCTTAGTGGTGTTTTCTATAGGTGGCGTTTCTTCTCTGCGATCAGGCTGTACCGCCGGTGGGGACAGCGGCGCTTCTGTTACCTCCTGTACCTTCTTGTCCAGATCGAACCCCTTCTTTGGACTGTCCCGGAGTGTTTGCTGCTGACTCGTGTATACCATTGGCATTTCGGGCATTGTCTTCGGCGGTATGTACACTGTCATTTCCTGGTTGATGAATGAGTTTAAAACTTACTTTATAAACTTACGTTACTTAAAAAAGTTACGAAAAAAAATATGAGTTTCAAAGTGCATGCACGTAAAGAAAAAGCAAGAACTAAAAAAGATGGATGGACTCTGTGAAAGAAGATATGTGTGGCAAGACGACCGTTAAACCTAAATTAGGGGTGGGTAATATATAATAATGTCTATGTATTTTAGTTACAATATACTGGTCCAAGAACGAATAATAAGTCCAAAAACAAAAATCAGTCAAAAATAATATTGGATTATATATATATATAGTATTCATATTATCCGAGCCAAATCAGAATAGACGCCAAAATAAACTGTGCCTACTACAAATAATAAGATAGTAGCTAAAATGATGCTAATATTATGTATAAACTCTATTAATTTTATAAATGCGAAAGTTTGTGAAGGTGCATGGATAAATGTTTGTTATTTTTTCACACATAAACGACTTAACGGATTTGAATGAAATTTGGTACACGAGTAGTTTTTACCCTATCTTGGCAATCACCTATAGGCATGAGCAGTACCACGGTGGTCTGCCATATATATATATATATATATATATATATATATATATATATATATATATATATATACCACGTGGACAAATACAGCTATTTTAAAGTAATAAAAAATATGAATTAAATGAAAGGACAGTAGATACATACAGGGTCAGGACGAGGCTGGGGCACGGGCCAGGCGCGGCGCGGGTCAGGCTCAGACCACTCTGGGCGAGCGTACCCACCGCCAACCCCCCAGTCTAGACCTGAAATATCAAAAAAAAAGTCTATTAAATATATAATGCTCATTTGTATTTGAAGAGTGGATTAAGGCAATGAAATAACAGCGCTTTGGAGTTTTGGACAGTCTCCCTCTGGTAAAATTATTTTATGATATCCATATTTGTTGTTCATGACAATAGGCGATGACTCTATTGTAAAAAGTTTTATCGTTTGTTATTTCAGATTTCAATAAAGTACACTGTAATTTATATGTTATGTAACAAGCTAAGTTATGCGACAAAAAGTTCTTTGGCAAAGAATATTAATATTGAATTTAGTTACAAATGTACTAAGGGTCTGAAGTGAGACCTGACCTGTCTGTGGTTGCCCCCAGGGCCGTCGCGGCCAGGGCGGCTCGAAGGGCGGCCCGTACTGCGCGCCCATCGCCTGCCCCGGCCCTGGCATCTGCGGTTCCGTGTCTTGCAGAAGCCCGCCCTTGTGACTGAAGATATGTGAACTGCGACCTGCCTCTGTTATAAACATATTATTTTTAAAACTTTTATTCATTTTTAACGACAGTCTACATATATATGTATAACAGAAATATATGTGGGAAGACGAGACGTTGATGACAACGAAAAGATGAAAAGACGAACAGAAAGATCTTAAGTTTCTCGTTATATATATACTTAGATGGATATTCAGAATGCTGGATTGGACGAAACGGTATGTCCATGGTACTGCTCATGTCTATAGGCGACGGTTACCACTTTCCATCAGGTGGGCCGTCAGCTTGTTTGCCATTCTAAGTTATATAAAAAAAATGTGTATAAGTGTCTCGAAAATATCTTACGTTACCAAAGTAAGAAGAGTACCATCTATCTGTTTCGGCTTATAAATTGTTACCTGATAGCAATACCTTCAATTCAATTAGGTAGGTACCTGACTGTATTTGATGGGATAGGAAGGGATTATTAGTATTCAAGACTGTGAGCCCTATAGCTAACAATATACCTAACCAGGTCAATCTCCGCGTGGTTCTCTCTGGAAGCTCATGTGCTGAATTCCAGGCCTATTCATCACGATGTGGCTAACTGACCTGCCTTTTCATCATCACCTTTCATCCCTCACTGGAGTCCCGCCGGTGAATACCGTAAACGCGGCCGGGGTTATCATACTATTTTCACCCATTAAAAAAAAAACAATATTTGATTTATAGAACGTCTTGAACCATTATGCATAATTTCTATTTAGGTGTAAGTTTATTTTGTATTTCCTTTTTCTTTAAGTTTATGATTGTTTCTGTTTTAGTTTATAATTGTTATTATTATTATTATTATGCCACAAATAAATATGTTTCTTTCTTTCTTTTTTATCCGGACTTACCATTGTACCTGTGCTGTGGCTGCGCCTGCGCAAGTCTGTGCGGCCACCGCTCGCCGCCTAACGCGGGCCCGCCTTCCATCGCCACACTGTCGCTCACGCTTGATTCTGAGCTCTCTTGTACCTGTACCACATAAGCATACCTTTTATTTATAAACTCGTATATTGGGAGGGAAATGTATATCTATATTTTTTTCTATTATCTAATTTTATTATCATCTATTTATTTTATTAATTAATTTAATTATATTATTATTATATAATTTTTATTTATAAGACTAAGGTGATAACTGTTTTATTTGTTTATATAGAACTGCAACAAAGATTTTCCCATAAAGTTTAACTTTGATTGGATCAATTCATGAATACATAGATAGAGGTACATAGTATTATAAGTAAAAAGAGAATTTTTGAAGTAGTATGATTACTATCTGGAAAAATATTGGATTTATTCTGATAAACTGATAAACTGGGGACTTTGATTGTGTGTGCGCGTGTGCGCGGGTGCGTATGCGTGTGCGTGTGCGTGTGCGAGTGCGTGTGCGAGTGCGCGGGCGCGCGAGTTTGTGTCTGTGTGTGTAAAAAAAAATATTGACAAAAATCTTGGAGATGATAAACTGGTAACAACAAAGGTGTCGTAAAAAATGTTACACCAAGATCCCATACATGTACATGTTTGGAGGGCGGCGGTGGCGGCGGCGGCGGCGGCGCGGTGGCGGGCGGCGGCTGCTGCGCGGGCGGCGGGCACGCCAGCTCGGGCGCCTCGTCGCTGCCGTCGGCGCACTGCGGCACGCCGTCGCACGCGTTGTACACCGCGATGCACTCGCCGCCGCGCCGGCACTCGAACTGGTACCGGCTGCATCGGCCCGCTTCACACCACACATATTGAAATTTCTTTTAAACCAATAAATGTTGGTAGATTCTTTTTAATGGATGATAATGGTATGGCAACTCCGCTTGCGCTATCGGTATACCCTGGCGCAGCACCAATGAAGGATAATTAGCGAGAATGAAAAGGCAAGACAGTTATCACATCGTGACGAATTCGGCGATAAATTAGTTACGATGGTTTCCAGGGGGAACCGCGTGGAAGTCGAGTATATGATGGCAATGGAGACTATGCTCCCCATTACTAACAATCCCTTCCCTCCACATTAGTGGATTTAAGGGAATAAATTGTTAGTAATGGAGTTTAAAAGTCCTATTGCTAGCAATATACCCCATCAGGTTCGAAAGTCTATTCAGGGAACGATGTGGAGTTACCACCCAGTTCCTCTTGGTAATCATCGTAATTAATTCTAGGCCAACTAACCTGACTTCGTCCTCCTCTATCATCTCTTACTGGGTCTGTCTGTCATCTATCAGCGTAAATCGATAGCGCAGGCGGAGATACTATTTGATTATCATCTATTAAAAAAAAAAACATTAGCCTATTTAAAATTATTTTCCAGTTAAATATGTCTTTGCGAAATTTCGTTTGCATCCTGGGATACCAGATAATTCTGAGGTGGGCACGTTCCTCCCTCCTCTAAATACGACTATGTTAATGAAAATGGAATGGCAGCCCAGCCTGTACGATATCAAAGTCTCAACAAACAATCAGCATCATCTTCACAATGTTGGTCACTGGTCTGTACCCATAAATAGAAGGGAATAAACCCACATTGGCACAGGCTTTTGTGTCGAGTTCTTCTGTCGTATTGGCACATTATGCTTTGTGCCCCTCAAGACTTTGTTACTTTTCGTAGCGATGCAAAGGATAACAATGTAGTATCCTACGAGATCAATAGGTGTATTTAGGCCGGGCCTGGTGGGCTGTGCCTACTCAAGGATCGTCTAGTCCCATTCTTTGATGCGGGTAAAGCTTCAGAAAAACTATGTAGGTATGTTCCTTTTTTAAGGGTTCAGAAACGGATAACTTTAAAGATACTAATGATGAGATGTCAACTTCAGATGTGATGACGAATAGATTAAATTGTTTACAATAATATAAATAGCTCGTCCCGCTACGACCCGCTATAGGCATTGTCAACAAGGCATGAGTCAATGATAGCGGGCCCAAAGGCGGAACACCATGGTAAAAGTAAAACTCAACTGAACAGTAGGCTAACAGCTATGTCAGGGGGAAAGGAATGTTCGTAATGGGATCTAACAGTCCCATTGCTAACAATATACCCAGATATCAGATAAACTTCAATGCCCGTGGAGACCATGGTGATTATTTATTGATGAATTCTTCACTATGAGACAACTGTCCTCCTTTCATTTTTACCTATCATCCCTTACTGGTGCTAGTCAGTGACAGTGGGCACACAATAGTAAGACAACTAAACAGTAGGCTAACTAACAGGTATGTCAAACGATACATAATTCTGAACCGATTTCCTATTACTTTTTTCAATCGATAGGATTTTTCCGTGTTAGTTATATTGTTTTTTGTACGGATGGTGTCCGTTAGAGTAATTTTTTACTGGGAGGGAAGGGATTGTTAGTAAGTAATATGGCGATTAATCTTAATTTATACTTTTTTTTGTAATAAAAAAAATACTATTATTTAATAAAAAGGTTTCAAAATTTTACTTTGTTCGAATAAAAAAACTGGTATCGCTGACGGACATAAAGATTACTTGCTTATTATAATTTAATTCGTATTATATCATTCGAGTTGTAGCTAAATTAATAATTTTAATATTATAATAATACTTGTCATAACCACGACTTCGGTCGCATGACAAGGACATATTGGTTGACTGATTGTGGAAAGAGTAGCTTGTGTGCGTTATTCTCCATTCCAAATATAACGTATATGATTATTGATAGACTAACACATACATTGACAGATTTACCAAGTAAAAAAGTCAAATTTGCGATATATAGACGTCTAGACGTCTTACTAAAATCGTGTTTATATCTAAACAAGAGGTGTATAACTACGGAATGGGGGCCTAATTGTGGTAATAGTATCGCTAGCGGTCAGTGGTCAAATAACGAACTAAAGCATCATATAAATTATCTGGAGATGCTCGCTGCGTTCCTAGCCTTTTTTTTCTTTTTTTTAATTTTACAACACAGGGGGCAAATGATCATGCGGCTCACCTGATGGTAAGTGACTACCGCCGCCCATGATCACCCACAACACCTACGGCATTGCAGGTGTGCTGCCGGCCTTTTAAAAAGGAATATGCTCTTTTCTTGAAGGTTATGTTGTCGTATCGGTTCGGAAATACTGCTGCTGGAAGTTGATTCCAAAGAGTGGTTGTGCGTGGGAGAAAGTGCCTTGAAAAACGCACGGTGGAGGACCGCCACTCGTCCAGATGGTTGGGATAGCCTTAAAAGTTTTTGCCAGAGATTCATATAATTGCCAAATACTTTTACGAATAGACAACACTACTGCAATATCTTGCATTAACTTGTACAGTAACAAAATTTATTATAATAATCTATACGATTCACCTACGTAAAACAAATAAACGTTATTATTTATTACATTGACTAAACAATAAAAAACTCTTTAAAATATGTTCTGTAGTAACAATATTTGTACGCCCATTTATGGTAAAATATGGCGCTCTACCAACGTCATCTGTCAATATCGAATTTATAACTGTTTATGCAAATACATGATTTACATTTCAAAAAACGATGTTTTCTGAAACATGAATAAGTTATACTTTGAATTGATCTTTTTATATGTATTACAGAATATGTAATTACTTATTACAAACTTGGAGTACTGTTTATGCCAGTGTTTAGTCTGTACCACTTTATGGCAGTTAGATACGGTGACCGACAAGGGAGGCACGTATGTAGTTCATCGCCTCGCACTATCCCCCCTCTGCCCGCCCTTTGCTCAAATTGCCTAAGCACTGAGTCATCCCCGTGACTACACTGCTCTTAATAATTTCGTAGTCCTTTGGAATTTCTTTGTTCTGGCTGCATCACCTCGTGGGAATGACCTTCCAAATGAGTGATGTCATATTATGACGTAGGTACAAGTCGGGCCGTGGCCGGTTCGACTGTGGGAACTGGTCTATTTAAAAACGAAACAACTGATTCATTTTAATACTAAACTTCCTTTAATATATTTCGTTTTTTTTACGGTTTCATGGAACCGTATTGTTATTTTACTATGTAGGTAATAAATAAATGTTATGGTGATGCTTGAATGTTTACATGTTTGTTCTTAAAATATGCTTTTGTTGAACAAACTAGAATAAAATTTGTTACCAATGTATGTACTTTAATACTGACAGTGTCTTAAATCATGCGGGAATAGAAATAGAATTCATGTTTAAATGAAAGGTCTATGCTAACTTTATGAATTCATTACAACAATAGTAGCTAGTCATCATCTTTTATACTTTATTTATTTATATATTGTTTACGTAGTTGTAAAATATATGTTACTTTATATTAATGTATATATTATTTATTATATATATATATATATATATATATATATATATATATATATATATATATATATATATATATATATATATATATATATAAGTATACATTATTAGTTGTTTCTTTACCTATCCTAATAATGAAATACCGCGTTCGTAATTCACTGTTCATCCCAAAGGTTGACTGGTTTTTTTTATGGGTGATAATGGAATGGTAACCCCACCCGCGCTATCGGTATATACCGGCGGGCCACCAGTGAAGGACGATAGGTGAGGATGAAGCAGGTCAGTTAACCCATCGTGACGAATTCAACAAGAATTGTTCACGATGGTTTCCAGGGGGAACCACGTGGAGGTCGCCCTAATAGGGCATATTGCTAGCAATGGGGCTTTCAAACTCCATTGCTACAATCTCTCCCCCCCCCAGGTTGACTGGTAGAGAATGCTAATAGCATTAAGATCGGTTTTTGTACCATATTTTCTTTTGGTCAATAATGTTGTTTATATAAATAGCCGTGGGATACGGTTTATAATTATTATAGCTACTTTCATATTAATAATATTATGAAGTCGGATAATTATAGGTCATTATATCATCTAAGGTGTTTTTCTTGTATGTTTTTCTATGCTTTACTGGTTCGAAATTAAAATAACAGAATATTCTTTAATCTACAATACTAAAGTCTTTGAACTGAGCATAAAAAAAAATTAATAATCGTCTGGCGAATTGCCCAAATGTTTTCCTTTAATCAGGACAGACTCCCGCGCACTGTCTGCCATATTGAATATCAGAGCAGCTTAATATTTTCTAGTCACAAATTTAATTTAAACTCGGCGCCCGTCGTTCCAAAGCTATACATAAAAACAGGCGTAATAGGGGGGAAAGGGATTGTTAGTAATGGAGACTGAGAATCCCATTGCTAGCAATATACCCAACCAGGTCGACCTACTCACGGTTCTTCCTGGAAACTATCATGGTTAATTCCTGATGAATTCATCATGATGGGCTGACTGGCCTGTTTTCATTCTCATTTATCACCGTTAGCGCAGGCGGGGTTACCATACCATTTGCACCCATAAAAAAAAAAAAAAAACAGGCGTAATATATGCGTCATATCTATTATAACTACACCAAATCCTTGATCCTTTCATCATCAAAGTCATTATGATGTATCTAAAAAACTGAACTTTTTCCATTGAATGTATCAGTCAAAAACATACAAAAATAACTAAGAATTTTAAACCTCTCGCTGTTGTTGACAACAGGACACGCCATGTCAGTTACTTAGTACAGAAGGTTTACAATTTCTCACTTTTTTTGGCCAAGTTTCTTTGAGAAAAATGTTCGGTCGCTGTGAAATAACACACTTTCTTTAAAAATAGTAATGTTTTTGATCTTATCCTGCACAATATGAGAAGCCATATAGCCCATAATTCATGCGCTGGTGTAGACGACGACGACGAATAGGCACATATAATATATATAAACGTTGCCAGCCAGATTAATGTGTACTCATTATGCTCCATGGCATTTCCCATTTTGTCCTGATGATGGGGCAAGACGGGATATTTGACATGTGTCATATAATGCCTATTTGCCAAAAAAGTATGCGAGTTTGCGCCATAAAACATTATAATTATTTTAATTGAAACGTCGTCCTCCGTGGCGCAGCGGTCAACACGCCTGCCTGCGACGTGGAGGTCCTGGGTTCGATCCCCGGCCAGGTCATGATGGAAAACGATCTTCTCCTGATTGTCCTGCGTCTTGGATGTTTATCTATATATATGTATCTATTATAAATATAGTATCGTTGAGTTAGTATCCCATAACACAAGTCTCGAACTTACTTTGGGGCTAGCTCAATCTGTGTGATTTGTCTGTATATATTTATTTATTAAACATTTTTATTTTTGAATTACAATATTTTTTCTCTTAAGTATCCCATCTTACCCCGGTCTCCCCTAACGATGCTTTGAGCGCGTAAACCAGAACAGGAATTAGAAAAAAATCATACCTTGGATGGGCTGATGCCTTACGTATGAACACAAAATATTTTACTGAACTAGGTGTTATCTTGCGGAAGTCCATAATACTGGTTATTTTTTAGAATTACTAGCTGACTCGGCAAACGTTGTTTTACCATATACATTATTTTTAGAACTATACATGAAAATTTATCGTACTACAATTATTATATTGGATTGCCATCTTGCAACCCTATTGCAGCATATAAAAATCGCGATTAAAAAACAGGAGTTGATCGTAAAACGGTGAAAATTTGAGGTTGTATGTATTTTTCAATGCTAAATCATAATAAAATAAAAATGGAAAAATTCTTCAAAAAAATAAAAAAAAAATTTTTTTGAGGAGGGTCACCCTTATCATTGAGGAGTATGAAAAATAGATGTTGGCCGATTCTCAGACCTACCCAATATGCACACAAAATTTCATAAAAATCGGTAAAGCCGATTCGGAGGAGTTTGGTAACAAACACCGTGACACGAGAATTTTATATATAAGATTTTGTTCAGTTCCACTACCATTAGTATGTGTGTGACTGCCAGCACTCGAAGACTGACCACGAAAGGTGATAGGTGAGAATGAAAAGGCAGGCCAGTTAGCCCATCGTAATGAATACACCTGGAATTCAGCACGATGATTTCCAGGGGGGACCACGTGAGATCGACCTGATAAGGCACATTGCTAGCAATGAAACTGGTGGTCCACAGTACTAACAATCCCTCCCCCCCTGTATAATAGTGTTTAACCGACTTCAAAAACAAGGAGGTTATCAATTCGATCGTATACTACTTCATAACCCCGTCAGTTCGGGGGAAAGGGATTGTTAGTAATGGAGACTGAGAATCCCATTGCTAGCAATATACCCAACCAGGTCGACCTCCACGCGGTTTCCCCTGGAAACTATCATGACTAATTCTTGATGAATTCATCATGATGGCCTAACTGGCCTGTTTTCATTCTCATCGATCACCCTTCACTGGTGCCCCGCCAGCGTATACCGTTAGCGCAGGCGAGCCTGCCATTCCATTTTCACCCATCAAAAAAAAAACCCCGTCAGTTCTAAATCGATTTGGAAAATTCTTTTTTTATGTAAAAGTATATATACACTTACAGATTAATTCTATAGGAATTTTATCAAAATCGGTTCAATGGTTTAATTTTGGATTAAAAATAACTGGTTTTGCTATTGTTGAAATCAGTTTTTTTTTTTTTATAAAACACAATCATTTTTAATTTGTCCATACTTGGTATCTGAGGTGGTTCGGGCGGCTGGGGGTGCATCGGCGGCGGCGGTGGAGGGGGCGGACTGGTAGTTGTGGTCGTTGTTGACGTGCTGCTCGTCGCACTCCTGGGGAAGACCAGAGTCAGTCAAAAGTTATTTTTATTTATTCATATAAGAAAGTACTAGTTCATTTTATACATAGATATAGATACTCTTTATTGTTTCCTCCAAAAGATTACAATAGTAAACTTATTATAAATACAAAAAATTACAAGAAAAAATCACAATGAGAAAACAATGGGCGACCTTATCGCTAAGAGCGATCTCCTCCAGGCAACCTTTGAATGGAGAGGAGTAATTATAAACAATTTTGTAGGAGGTACGATGAAAAATTCTTTATTGCCCTCAGAAATACAGTAATAGTCACAAACATTGATATTGATGAATGAGTATACTTTATTTGCATTATACAATATAGGAAATAAGCAAGACAATTTACAAACAACGATACATTTGTATAAGTACAGTAAGGCGGTCTTATTGCTGAGAGCAATCTTTTCAAGACAACCTTAAGGTAATGGACTAGTTGTTGTACAAGTAGGTATATATATATATATATATATATATATATATATATATATATATATATATATATATATATATATATATATATATATATATATATATATATATATATATATACTAAATATTAAGTGGAACAAACCGCAACGTATTGGTGAAAACCGCATTCAAATCAGTTAAGCCGTTTCTGAGATTAACGTGCACAAACGTACAGACAAACAGACAAAAATACTAAAATTCATTGTTTTGGGTTCTGTTGCGTTCAAGTTTAGGGGCCCTATATTATAGGGTTTTTCTTATACGAGGTTTGTCCGGAAAGTACGTATAAAAGTTTTTTAAAAATTTTATTTTACAATTATTCAGGTAAATCAATTTTATCCCCTTCAAAGTACTCCCCCTGTGACATAATGCACTTGTGCCAACGCCGTTTCCACTGTGAGAAGGCTCCTTGAAAGTCCTCTGGTTGTAGGTTTCTCAGCTGCCCCGTCGTAGCTTTTTTTATCTCATTTATGTCCCCCAAATGCCGCCCCCGAAGTACCAATTTGGTTTTTGGGAACAAGAAGAAGTCACACGGGGCCAAATCCGGCGAATAGGGGGTGTTCGGTCACCGTAATGGAATTTTTACTCAAAAACTCACGGACAACAAGAGAGGTGTGGGCAGGGGCATTGTCGTGGTGAAGAATCCAACGCCCCTCTCGCGCCAATTCTGGACGAACTCGTGCCACACGAGCTTTGAGGCGTCTGAGCACATCGACGTAGAATTTTCCATCAACTGTCTGGCCTGGAGGGACGAATTCTTGATGGACAATCCCCCGAACATCGAAAAAAACAATCAACATTGTCTTGACATTTGAGCGGGATTTTCTTGATTTTTTTGTTCGTGGTTCCCCGGATGTCTTCCACTCTTTGCTTTGGGATTTTAATTCGACATCAAATTCGTAGAACCAAGACTCATCTCCAGTGATGACTCGGTTCAAAAAGTCACCATTCTCTTCGGCTTCCAACCAGTCCTCACAGCAAGCAACTCTTCGTGATTTTTGATCCGGGGACAAAAGCTTGGGAACGATCTTGGCGCAAATTTTTTTCATTTGAAGTTCGTTTCTTAGAATTTCGTGGACCACGGTTTTGCCCAAATTAAGCTCTTCAGCCACCTGTCTGACCGTTAAACGACGGTCCCCATTAACACAAGTTCGAATTCTTTCCACGTTTTCGTCGGAATGTGAAGTGGAAGGACGTCCTGAACGTGGGTCATCTTGAACGCTTTCTCGGCCCTCTCTGAATCTTTTTAGCCACTTGTGGACGGTTGGTTCCTTCACAGCATCATCCCCATAAACTGTTCTGAGATCGGCAAAAATTTCACGGCCATTCTTGCCGAGTTTCGAGAGAAACTTGATTACGACGCGCTGCTCTTCAACGGAAGCGGGCTCCATGCCGACGGGGTTTCGTTAAGAGGTAACTTCACAGATGGCGTGACAAGCCAGTTCGCACCGCACGGCGGTCAGACCAGAACTGAAGCATTGTTAGGGACATAAGGAAGGGGTCCTGCGCTTACCTGGCCTCCCCACTCCTCTTTCTCGCATTCCAGAACACTTTTATACGAACTTTCCGGACAGACCTCGTATATCTTCCATGTACAGACAATGATTAGTTACGATTTTATTATATGCATTGACTGATTGATATTAATCATATGCTATTTGATCACCTGAGGCTGGCGAGCTCGTGCTCGTGGTGCGCGAGCCGCTCTTGGTCCTGCAGCTCGGCCAGACGCCGGCTGAGCGCCAGCACGCCGCTGCTAAAGTTACTATGCGCTGTGAACTTGCACCTGAAGTCTTCCGGCGGCCCGCAGTTGAACATGTAGCAACTGCCTGGACTCTGCGCCGAAAAAAATCGTTTGGATATTGAGAATGGTCAACAAGGAGAAGGCCAACTTGATGGGAAGGGGCAACCGTCATCTGTAGGGGGAGAAGGGATTGTTAGTAATAAAGGTTATCAATCCCATTACTAGCAATATATCTTATCAGGTCCTCCACGCGGTTTACCCTGGAAACCATCGTGATAGATTTATTGTTGAATTGGTCACGAGCCAACTGACCTGCTTCATCACTTACTGGTACCCTTCCAGTGTATACCGATAGCGCAGGCGGGGTAATCATTCCATCATCATTCATTAAAAAATACCGTCACCTATAGACACGAAGACCATCACGGTCATCACAAAAGACGTTGTGAAACTCATGGTATTATTACTCATGCGTTACCATTCCTGAGGACTAATGATCTTATCTCTCTATACCCTGTATTTTCACTACTATATTTCATTTTTCAAATAGAAAAAAACAACCATGCAAATACAACTACATACTTCACAACAGAAACACAAATGCAACAGAGATATCCAACTTCTGTATAATCTACAATAATAGTTGTAACTGAATGGCTTTGTTGCAGTCGCATTTATTATTGGGTCATGCTGTGTGCACATGGTGTGGCAAGTTTACCTGATCAATACACTAATTTGTAACTTGCATGTTATAATTTAAGTTTGTATTTGTAAACTTCTATTATGTACGCCTAATAAATAAAATAAAATAAAAATTAAATAATCTCCCTTTGGTAAATTTTGAACCATTACGTTACTGTCAACTTTACTACGAGTATTATGTAAAACTTAATGAGGTGTTATGTTTAAGTCTCAAGGCAGCTTGTGCCTTTAGAGGATTTGGAACCGGCATCCTTAGATCTTATAACCTATTTACCGAAAGATTTTTGTCAAACGTAAATATAGGTAAAAATAAATTATTATACCTATGCACATAAGCGTCGCTGGTTTACAGTAGTGTTCTTGTCCCAACATACTTCCTAGTATCTTTCTTTTTGGGTATTCTGTGGTCATATCTTAGTTTTACTAGAATAGAATAGCTTTTTAAACGATTAAAAAAAGAAAGGTCTCAATTTAAAGCGTTTGTAGATATTTTTTGTGGCTCGATTATACCTACCACAGATTAGAGGAAATATCTACGTCGCAATTAGGCGCCAATTTGTTTTTTTTTTAATTGATTGAAGGTAACGTTTTTTGTTTGGCAAGCAACAACCGCTAGAAGCAAGATCTATGTAAATACCATTTTCTTATAAAATAATATCTTTTTTTTTTCTATAATATACGTTTTAATTTAAGCATTTCCAATTTAATGGTGTTTATGAAATACCTAACAAATTTTGTGTGTTTTGTTGTGCATGTCCTTTTGTTTCGTTTCGAATAATTGTTTTTTTTTTATAAAGCCTTTTAGACTTTTTTTAAATGTGTCTTAGTGTGTGTTTATAGTAAAAAAAAAGAATCTTTTAATTCCTAACAGGCATAGATTAAGTATAGTATTTACGGACAGGCGATGCGAGTATATAGTAATTTTACAAAATATACGTATGTGTGGGTAGTTCTTATCTACGATATGAATAAAATATTTATTATGGTTTGATTTGATCGTTCATTTGTAGCTGAATATTTATTTGATCGGTATCAACACCTACTGATAAATAACGGATAATATTGATTTTTGTGTTCGGTATTGATTGAACCGGCATGCCACGTCACTGATAATAATTATGCGGGCTACTAGTTTAGATTGTCAAATGAAATAAATAATTTGCTCTACAAAAAACAACAGCGACATCGATCGTTACAAAATAGATACAATTAGATATTTTGTAAATACAGTAAACTCTGTTATGTCCATGGTAGTTCATGTCTATAGACGATGGTTACAACTTTCCATCAGATTCTACAAAAAAAAATTACTTCAAATATGGCGAACCATTTTTGATAACATTTCTATGGGACCAATCTGTGAGTGTAACCTTTGAGATAAAAAAAGATTTGCAAATCGATTTAAACATAAAAAAAAATACAAATGAATTAAGAACCTTTATTTTTTTGAAGTCGGTTGAAAGACATCTTCATTTGAAAATCGCTTAAAAAACAATTACAATAAAAAACCTAATCTAATATACTTGTAAGCACATAGGTAACAAGTAAATACATGTAATATGAATAAATGTTTACATTTTAATTTTTCATGTGGTGACGCAGTAAGAATGTGTTTCACAACCGTACTCTGGAAATCAGAAAATATTCTATACGTTTCTAATTATTTCAATATACATACATAAGTGCGTAGGGTTAGTTTATCTTGTTAGAAATGATGCACGACGGAATTATTTATAACCTGATTACTAAATACAGATAAAGCAATGAACAAAATCAAATAAAAACGTCACTTTTATTACTTACACCTTTCAAAAAAGTAAGTGGAATGACGGACAATAGGAAGATGCATTGTCAAAAGATCGATTGTTTAGTATCAAAGCTCTCACGCCGTTTCTAAAGCAACTGTACGTTCGTTACGTACCTTTTCCTCGTAAACAAAGACATCGCAGGAGTCCGTCTCGCAGCAGAGCCGGAGACACTCCTGGCGGGTCCCCACGTCCAGCTCGGAGAGGTATCGCGCGCCCATGTCGCGCGACTCCTCCGTGCGTATTATTTTGTCACGTTGCACGTCGAAGCGCGTCGCGCACGCCGCCGGGTCCAGTTCGCGCGCGCCTGCCATCGCACCCACCAGAGCAAACCACCATGCCCAAGCGCGCATCCTCTCTTCTCTTCTATCTCCTGCTCTCTCTTGCGACAAAAACACTAGACGATTTTCCGTTACGCTCCACTAAATTGCAAATCGTCAGTTCTTTCGACATCAGTCTTCCCATACCGCACTATTACTTGCTAGCATTCTTATCAGTATTATTATAGAAAAAGGAATAGCATACTGCACAGCAGTCGAATTACTCGAATGACTGGCTTGCTCGCCGTGTCGCCGCTTGTCGAGTGCGCTCGATAGGGCCGCGTCTGCGCCTCGTACGCGCTTTTCCGATGTACAAACAAATGGATATGACCCCTCAATTGTATCTACATATTAGTAAATTTGTAACGCATTAAAACTGCACAATAACCCGCCAAATTTGCCGCTTATTTAAGCTATTTGAAAGTAATTATACTAATCTAGTTCAGGTGCTGTTTCACAGAGATACATCGTAGTTCCACAATCTAATCATATCAACGTGTTCGTAGCTCGCGGAGCCACTGTGCAGAGTGCGGGTGGCGCGGCAGTGACGGCGTGATCGCCGGCCGACAGCCCGCAGCGCTCCGCCCAGTCCTCATGTCGCTTTTCTTCAAGTTCAGGAGTAGCGTGAGTACAAACAATACACATTACCCGTGGTCCCCGGCCCGGGCGTCGCTGTCGGCCTCCTCGCGTGTCCCTCACAACACCCGCCAGACCTGATATTCGGGTACTTAAACTACATCGGCTGTCGACACGCCCTCGCGTCCATCATCATGCCGCGGTTTGCAGTTTACAATACATTTATTTTACTTATATTATATATATTGAAGTTTCATACATTTATAATAAATTGATCTAATAGAAAATTTTATCTTTGTGTGTTGTTATATTTATCAACTTATTGAATATTAATCGTAGGGGTGCCGATAGCGACTTTTCAATTTCATACCAAAATTATCTACATCATTTTATGAAGATAGCAACTGAAATGTGTATTTATTATTATTGTAAGTCAGTGTTATAAGTAATGAAGATTTGTGATCAAAGCTCTTGTATGTTTAATTATTATAAATAATGAAAAATCTAACTTTCATTACAAGCAGTTTTAAGTTAATTTATGTACAATATTGCCACCACGATTCTAAGCTTGAGGCGCGAAAAGTGATGGGACGTATACCTGACGTCTAGTAGATGATAAAATCGAGTAGCATAGGAACTGAAAAATAATAGCTGGTTTATATTATAATTAACTCTATGACAATATATTTTTTTAAATCGCGTATAGAACAATTTAAACTGTATCTGATTATGTTTTTTTTTTATATTTTTATTAAATATCAATTTAAAGAGACGTGTCTACATCAGTTTCCTGCGCCGTATGCCAGTAAGTTTCAGGCATAGATAAAGGAATGCTTGTTTTCTTTATTATACCATATATCCGAAGTGTAGACCGAGCGGTTACTCAACTCCCGCAGGTGCTAAATAGCGGATACATAGATATTTGCGCACATTATTGCATATTTTATTCAACTTTAGGCGGACAAAATTCTGTAATAGCTTTATGTAGCATTGAAAACGGCTTATGGCTATCCCAAGACAAAAGCAGCCGTCATAAAATGGCTGTTTCGGTTTGAAGGGTGGGATATGGCGTGAAATTACTGGGTACAGAGGATTAAGACCTGAGTCCTCAGAAATGGAAACGCATGGGGGGTATCATGGGCGAAACAGTATACTCTGTTATGTCCATGGTACTGCTCATGTCTATAGGCGACGGTTACCACTTTCCATCAGGTGCACTGTCACTTGTTTGCCATTCTAAGTTGTATAAAAAAAATGGTAACTTACTGTGTGTGTTTCAACCTAAGTGAAAGTCTTATTTCATTATTAACTTATCCTTTTTAAGTCTAAACCTACCTAGTTCTATAGTATATCGATGTTTACTCAATGTTCTTTTACCTAATCTAATAATTTTAAATCCAATTTAATAAGTCGTTGGTTCATACACACTCGGATATTGTTTTACCATTAAAAATGTTATTTTATCTATGGTTTACACCCACCCGGAGCTGCTCGGTTCTCGGCTGTCACGAGCTCTTTATCTCTAATACCTATAAGTGTATTATGTTGTCTGGAATCCTGTGCCCCGGATTGCAGGCATCGACCTCTGCTCAATTTACGTTCGGAGTAAACAAAGCATTTAAATTGATTCTAGTTACATCATCCGACCATGAGAGACTGACGATTTTCAACATGACGGTAATGATTTAAACAAACTACAGTCAATTTGCATAACGCGCAAATTTAAATCAAATAAAACAGTGACATAGGTAGGCTGTTGTTTAAATATCTATAATCTACAATTACAAGATTATTAAATTAATCCGTTTTGTCTTTTCATTTGCTAACTAGCTTTTGTCCGCGACTTCATACGAGTAGATTTTAGGGGATACTTTTAGCTTTACATAAAAGACACCCGCGACACCATATCTAAGTTTAATGTCTTAGCTACAAGTAAAAAGATGGTTCTTATTTTAAAAGTAAAATGAATTTAGCCGTTCATTTTAAAATCTTAGAGAATATTAGTGCAGTATTTTCACACACGCCAAAATACCAGACTTACTAAAATGTGTTGAACAGTTTATAAGTTACATAAACAAATATTGCACCCGCGCGAAGCCGGGGCGGGTCGCTAGTTTATAATATTAATAAGGATGACAGTCCAGTAATAATTTTATTATATGTATGTTACGTATGTAGCTATCGTTAGTGCTACATTGTTATGTACGCTCTAATAACTGATAACAAAACAAATAGGTAAATAAATTCTGTGCCACAGTTCGTCATACAATCCTCGTTTTTATCCACCTGTATCCAATACACCAAATTGATCCAACTTAAAATCTGGTATATCTTATACCGCTATCTATAAATAGGTATATACTTCCAAAATCCACGAAATTGCGGGCAAAATTAGTCAGTCAAATATAAAAGCTTAAGAAGATAATGCGTTGGCTTTATCTTCTCAAGCTTTTAAAGGAAAATTATGTTTCGTCTGTGCTCTCGTCGGCACAGGGTAGGCACATGAACTTAAATTATAAATTATATAAAATGGCAATATAAAAGAAATATAACATACGACAAGATATATATGCGTTAGATAGAGATAGAAAAGTGGGATATTTATTTAAACAATATAAGCTCGAAACTGATTTGGCGGGTGCATGACTGATACATACTTTACTTTTTAATGAATGTAATTGTTTAGAGTTAAATATGTTTTTCCTGGCGATAACATAACTTATGAAAAAAAAAACAAAATAGCACATTTTCACGTAATTACGCTGCAAAAATCTCTTTAAACGTAATATTATAGAACAATCAGAAATGTTTTATACAAGAATTGGTAGAAAAATATATCTGATTTAATCCAAATAAAGATCTAAACGTCCACAAATTGAAATAAAAGTCATAACAAATACGTATTTTTTTTTATACAATTATTTTCTTGTCTCATTTTTGTGATTGCATCGCCAGTCTGTCAGTACGTAGTACGTTGAAATACGTCTATGAACACACATGAAGTCATGACGCCAATACGTATTCAGGATGTTTGTTTTACTCTTGACTTTTACGGTGCGCCGGTGTAATCCGACTCGTTTAGTAGTTTAATAAACGATTCGTTAAAATTAAAAATAATGTCCCACAAAAAAAATCGACATCAATCTTGAGAAAACGAGTTATTTTTATTTAAAAACTAAACTATTGAATTGATTTTGATAAACTGTGTATTTAGGACCAATCTGTAAGTATATCCTTTCAGATAAAAATGGAATTTTTTAAATCGGTTTAGAACTGACTAAGTTATGAGGTAACAAACATAAAACAAAAATAAGAAAGAATTGAGAACCCCTTTCTTTTTTAAATCGGTTGAAAACTATACTTACTTAATTATATTTAATTCTCTCGAAGAAACACATTTCGATCAACCACATATGTTAAGATATTTACAAAAAGGGAATATAAAAATAGAATGGAAAAAGAATATTAATAGAGCAAGATTCCAGGGCGGCCAGGTCTACGTTATTTTAATACAGCTAAGATGTTTTTCTTATGGACATAATTATGATAGTAGGAAAAAACGAATGCGCATTAGCTAAATTATAGTCAGCCGTTAAGTTCAATTGTATTTAAAGTACTCGTATTACGATTGGTTTCTAAGCCATCGTATGCTGATTATTCTTCAATATTCCTCTATAGAAAAAGTAAAGATATTTTTTTTATCAGTGACAGTATGTTTCAGCAATGTTTTTCATTCCAGACAAATTATCATACTGAAGACTAGGCAGCATGATCTCCGACCTTAGCCTGTTCCATTACGGAAAAAACGTATTAAAAAAAAGCAATGTTTTTCTGATTTGAGGCAAAGCGGTGAATTGAGATGTGATCATTTTGTGTATCTGTGGCACATACATTTTTTTTTTTTTACTTTTTTTTAAATGGTAATTCATTCTTGAAACACGAATCAACTGTTTATCTCTCTATCGTCTTCTTCCAATAAAAACACAAAAAAAAAACAATTGTACTTTTGCCTACAATTAATTTTTTTGTCACACTTTGTTATATTGGCGAGAAGCAATTCGTAACTTCGTCGTACTTTGCCCACAACTGTCTTGGTTTAAGTACTAAAAATTAGAATTTATCTAAATTGATATATAAATTGACTTATCAACACTAAGTACATCAAAATCTCTATAATCACTACCTATCATTGTTTTTAATCAAAATTAGGGATATTTACTACTTTCGATTATTTATATCATATTTTTATTATAGTTATATAACTGTATAATACCTATAATATTATTTAATAACTTATGAGATCAGTAATCTTTTTTTCAATTTATTTAGGTATAAAATTTAAGTACCTAATTCAAGCAATATAGATATACTAGTTTATTAATATACTTATTATGTTAATACCCTGATATACAGGGGAGACTTTGTACAAAAGTCGATTGCTTGGGTACCTCTGTCCCATTTGTGTTTCAACCGTGAAGCAGTTGTGTTTGCATGGCTGTGTTTCGGTTTGAAAGGTGGGATATGGCGTGAATTTACTGGGTACAGAGGAATAACACCTGAGTCCTCAGGAATGGCAATGCATAGGGGGTATCATGGGCGAAACAGTATACTCTGTTATGTCCATGATACTGCTCATGTCTATAGGCGACGTTTACTACTTTCCATCAGGTGGGCCGTCAGCTTGTTTGCCATTCTAAGTTGTATAAAAAAAAAAAAAAACACAACATAATATAGAAGTGTTTTTAATTTAACCAGTCGACTATCATTCATTAAAAAATATATGTATCTTCTTTAGAAATCCTTCATAGGTTTTTATCTGACTTATAAGGTATAACATGAAGATATGCTATGTGTCTTATTACTTGTTACTGTTACCCCCCACAGTTTACGCAGCTATTGCGCACAAATAATACTAATCAAAGAAATTAGATCATATGGCGATGATGACGCCGTCCCAATTTCTTTAGTCGTGACTCAGCCCTCTATCAGATACGTTTTCATTAAAACGTCACGTGGCCACCGGCCTGTGTGTGTGTTGAGCACGTATCATACGTGCACACAATCGAAACATTAACCTTATTTATTTACAATATCTTGTACCTTGACCGTTTGTGTTAGTTCTTTAGTACTTCAATGTTTTATTCTTCGAACGAGATCGATGAATTACAGTATTCTAGACGTCAAGGCCGCGATCGAAGGGTCTCGAATGTGGGAATAGCGGTCCTTAGCCAGAATTTATGGTACCTACGTGCATTGATTGCTATTAGTACATCCGATTAAACTCAATCTTATATCAATGTTATAAGGTTGAATTGCGGTACGTATCAAGAGACTGTTCCAAGAAATATTATGATCTGTAAAATTTCAATTTTAAACAACTATTCGGAACAACTTATTTTTAATTTTGAATACTTTTTAAACTTACGGACTGTTTAAGAGCGTTCATTGTGAAGGATGGCAACGTCGCAATTATCTGTCAATTTACAAAAACAATTGATTTTTTTTAATATTTTTGATAGATTATCTGAAAAAATGTTTTGCTTACGAATAAAGATAATTGCGATGTTGTTACATGTAATGTAATGGAGACTGAGAATCCCATTGCTAGCAATATACCCAATCAGGTCGTCCTCCTCGCGGTTCTCCCTGGAAACTATCATGGTTAACTCCTGATGAAGTCATCATGATGGGCTAACTGGCCTGTTTTCATTCTCATCTATCACCCTTCACTGGTGCTCCGCCAGCGTATACCGTTAGTATAGTATGGGGTCAAGTAACCCCAAAAATCCCTTTCCCCCCTCATAATGCGATTTGTCGGCAAAAACGTTAGCATATTTAAGCACAATGTCTCTTATGCTAATGTCTCTTTCGCTCGAGGCTTCGGTCATTAATACTAAATAGATAACGACTCAGGAACTAAAACGACAAAAATAATTATAGTAATTGTTTACTATAATTTTATGATACCTAATGATATCTGCGTATATTAACTTGTACCTTAATTACAGAGGATAGTGCAGTTTTGTTTGTGTTGAAATAAATCAAATTAAAAAAAAAAGCAATATAATAATTAATAGAACAGAATTGAAATTATTTATTGCCAGAAAAACTCATTGTTATAACAGAAAATATACAAATATTATATATAAGTAGTGTCTCACATTAGGAATTAACTCAGCTGATGCTGTGACTGCCGCAATGCAATATGCACAGCTCTGGTTTTCAGCCAGTCCCTCTTTTAACAAAATACCATAAAAATACAAACGGGTACAACTGCAATCGCATGTTACAAGAATGCACCCTTTATGTCAATACAATATTTAACTCCATACAATCAGAATGTGACATTATATAAAAAGCAACTCTGTGAGGCGATATTTTTGTCGCTTTTCCTGTTTAGGTATCTAGTGAAATTGATGATCAAAGGCTTAAAGTAATTAAGAGGCAGATGTCAGTCATCGCCATCGGCGGCACACGAGTTCACACTTCGCAACGACCGCAGTACCAGCTACATAGAACATAAGCCCTGTCAGCTGAGCTGCCGTACCGCCGGGCGCCGGGCCGCGCGCTCCTCGCCCTCCGCCGCGCCCTCCCGTCGCGACGGGCCCCTCCGGCACTCCGTCCGTCCTCCGTCCGCCACCGCAGCCCCGCTATCTTCGCGGCGACGCGAGGACGTGTCGAGTTATGCCGAGCGGCGCAGTTAAAGCTTGTGTGTATCTGTGATCGCCCGTGTACGCAGCCGACAAACAGACCGTATCTCTGTGCAGTGACAGTATTGACAAAGAGTGTCAGTGGCTAAGTGTATAGTGACTGTGGCTATTGTTCGGGACAAGAAGGACTACGCCGGCGATCTGCCGCAGCCGCAGCCTCCGCCGGGGGCAGTGACCGCAGGCGCGATCTCGGTACGACTCGAGATGACTCTTGCGAACTCACCGCGGACCGCGGGCCGCTACACACCCGCGCTCGACCGTAACACTTCTTGCGTTTCGGTCATTGAATAGGCTACCCATTTTACCGTTGCATAAATTAATACGAATGCAAATTATTTCACACAAATTTAAAATTCTCAATTCAAAAATTCCCTGTTAATGATGGCACCATTGTAATTTATAATTGATAATTTTACAAACTATTGTTTATTTTATTAATCTCCAATTTTCAGGACGTAATGGTTACCTAGCTAGACAGGTTTATTTTTCCTATTAAGACTTTTGTCGTATGCTTATAGATAGTTTGGTAGAATGAAATATGTTTTGGAATGAAGCCAAGACATTATTGTTTACTTCTTCCCAGGGAAGGAAAACTAATAAGTAATATACGTGTGAATATAATACGTGTTTACAAAGTTTTCCCAATTAAAAATATAATGGGATAAACACAATTGCTTATATAATTAAACGAAAGCAGAATACACATCAGTTATATAAATAACAGTATACTAGTAGGTAGGTGTGGTACAGTCATGTGCAATAACCATGTAAGAGAATTGGTAGGAGTTAAAATATTTATAATAGAGGTGTAAAAAATAATAAGAAGACTGGAAGTACCGAAATGTTATTTCACTAAATGAGGAATACACATTTGTTACATAAATAACAGTAGGTATATTAGTATATTCTTAATGGATGATATTGGAATGGTAACCCCACTTGTGCTATCCGTATACGCTGACGGGGCACCAGTGTGTGATAATAGACGAGGATGAAAGCAGTTCAGTTGGTCCATTGTAATGAATTCACCAGGAATTAAACACGATGGTTTCCAGGGAGAACCGTGTGGAGGTCGATCTGATGGGGTTGTATTGCTAGGAATGAGGTTGCTAGTTCCCATTACTGACAATTCCTTTTTTCTCCCAAAGGAGGAAAGGCAGGTTTGGCCGTACCCACTCCAAAATTGTCAGCTGCCTACTACGTTTGAGACATGTTTGAGAGTAAATGGACGCTCCTTTCTAAGAGGCCAGGTCCCCTCTGGAAATTAAGCTTAAACATACCAGTAAATAAACTGGTAAAAGTAGAAATATTTATATATGTTACAAATAACAATAAGTTTAAGATACCGAATTGTCATTTCAGAAATGGATGAAGTGATTCTGAAATAACTATGATATTATTTGTCGAATTATTGAAATTACCACTTAAGATAATTTGAGTGCAAATAACTTAAGTGGCAAATGACTAAAGTTTAAGAAAGTGTTAGTAAATTTTGGAGATTTAAGTGAATGATATTTCAGAATCAATTGTCACTTGTAAATAATGTGATAAGACAAAATGACGGTTAAATTCGTTAACGGTTATATTATAAGTTTACTACTGTAGTTTTTTGGTGGAAACAATAAAGAGTATCTATCTATATAATGAAACCAAGACGTAAATTCTTTTTAATATCAAATTTCAATATATTGACATAAAATATATTTCTCTATGTAACATAGAAATTAAGATAAATAAGGTAGGCGATCTTTTTACAATTATTTTATAAATGTCTTTGGTGATTCACTATATCAAATTTATTACAATATATTGTACTACCTTGTCGTATTTGGGTCGTAGTTATTAATAGATTGTAGATAGTCAACATTTACATATTATACCTACATGATCTCGATGTTCTATTAATTATGCGGAAAATTTATAATTCTGGCGATAACACCCAACTGATTAATAAAATCGAGTGAGAAACGAATAGAGTATCGTGTCGCAACATTGTTACGAAATTGTATGTAATTACAAGTCGAGAAAAATACTGAAAAGCTCCGTAGTTGAATAAAAAGGAAAATGCAGAATATATTTCTGTTTATATTTTACAACCTGCCATTATGGCAAAGGTAAAATGGGCTCCATTTTCCGCATTTATGACAGACAGATTATGAAGAAAAAAAAAAAGATGCGTCAATCAAAAACATTTAAATGAATCGTTTTAATAAAGTTATTATGATTTTTTTTTTATTCTTTTGACGCATTTTTGGTCAGGTTATGTAAATTCGTCGTGCAGTCGAAAACAAATATTTTCAAGATGTAACCCGAAAATGTAAATTTATCTTTATTCGTATAAACTTGTTTATAAGCACTTTTAAATTCGTCATTTTTTATGTATGCAGGCTTCGGAAAGTTGTTATCTGTTGAGAAGAGCCCAGAAACTCAACAGATACACTTTTAAATCTCTGTTAACATTACGTGTATTTATTTAAATGTAAAATCTACAATTACATGGTCGTTAAAAAGCCCGTGCATGATCGACTAATACCGTGCACATTAGTCATTCAAATAATCGTTTAGAGTGTAATAAGCTCTGTTCAATAAGTGTTTTTGATTACAGTTTTAAATTTATTAAAAGTGATCTAACTTTCAAAATATACTTCTGTATCTTATTATAATATTTAATACCCATTCTCATAAAAGACCTATTTAATTTTTATTTATTTATTCTTTAGTTACCATATTACAAAAAAAAAAAAAACTTTTTCTAAACGATGCTTTGGAACAGCAAGTTTGAATTTATATCTAGTGTTAAGATTATTCTGATTACATTACCTAACAATAAAAGCTTGAAAAAAAAAATAGTTTTTTGTCTGTGATCCTACTGTGTAACGTACTATGACTGCTAATACCAAGGGCAATGTTTTTTGTCTCCGATTCTATCAGTAAGGTTTAACGGACAAGTAACATTATCTCTAGTTAGAATGTACAAAGGGATTTTTTTCTCTACTATTTTTATTATCTTTTTGTCTGTTCAAGTAATTCTATTAATGATAATTGGATATACAGGAACGAGGAAATAGTCCCGCCGTTTGGTGGGGTCGTTATCATAATGTACTTTTTCAGATAAGCAGCGAAGCGGCTTCTTATATCTAGATAATGAGAAATCAAGCACGTTGTGAGTGGTTAGGTACTTTAAATATTCGATAAATGTAAACATGTGGACCTATTTTGGAATGCCATTAGCTAAACTTATCTTTAAATTTCGCTAATTCTACACACGTAAACATAGAGAAGTGACAATTTGAATTCTTTATCATAATAAAAAGTCGGAACTATTGATGAAATTTTTTATTATACCACTAACGTCACAAACAAGCATAAGCATACGACCCACCTGATGGTAAGTGATTACTGTAGCCTATGAACGCCTGCAATACCAATTATAATGCAATACAATTTTTTTTAATAATCTTCATTAATAAAATTAATACAGAAAAGCATATAAATAAATAAATAAAATTTTTAAATTAGTGCTTTTATACAGTCATAAATTTCGAGGATGACTCTGATTAAATAATACTTTTAAAAATACTTAAAATCAGCAAATTATACATAAAAATATATTGTAAAATAGACCCTTAATACTTCTTTTTTATACTTGAAACTATAAATTATCTAATATTATAATTGTATTAATGTCAGTTTTACTTGATGACGTCATTTAATTTTTCCCTTTAAGACACCTATTAATTTTTGGACAGTCATTCAGAAATCCATAATTTTTTTTAATGTATTTGCATGCTAATTAAATAAAAAAAGTGAAATTTCTATTGTACCAATTTAAACAATTTACTTTCAATGTGTAAATGTAAAGATATTAGTCTACATTATTGTTGCATATTTGTATAGGGAATTTCATTTAATAGTTGTTGTTCATTTATTCAATGTAAATTGACATTAATGGAAATATATTAGCTACATATCAATAAAATTTTACTACACCCAAACAGGGTCCATGTACTTACTCTATATAAGAACATTGTAACAACTTTATATTATATACACGAATGCATTATAATAAATAAATAAATAACATTTTGTCCACTACTTCGTATGTATGGATTTTAGAAGTAGGAAAACTAATGAATGATATTAGCCACTTCTGGATGGCGTATCGAGACTTTGAATTAGACACCCAGGAACACAACTGTGTCAATTGTATCCAATTCAATGCAGTAGCTTTTTCGTGATGACAAACAAATAAACAGACAGTAGGATATAATCTCTAAAAATTATTGTTTTGACATATATTGCTTTTATTAAGAACGCACATAGAATTTTTCTTAAATAGGTATCTCCCATGTATTTACATCGTTTAGTTACAATCTTACCACAATTATATTTGTAAGATTATCAAATGTTACCAGAGGTAGACTTTGTACAAGTCGTTTGCTTGGTCACTTCTGTCCTATTCGTGTTTCTACCGTGAAGCAGTTGTGTTTGCATGGCTGTGTTTCAGTTTAAACGATGGGATATGCCAGTGAATTTACAAGGTACAGAGGTATAATATCTGAGTCCTCAGGAATGGCAACGTATGAGGGTATCATGGGTGAAATAGTATACTCTGTTATGTCCTGCTCATGTCTATAGGCGACCGTTACCATTTTCCATCAGGTGGGCCGTCAGTTTGTTTGCCATTCTAAGTTGCATAGAAAAAAATATCTCGCATTAAACGAGTTCGCTATTCATCAACTTTAAAGCTTCCAACTTTCTAATCAAATATAGAAAAAAATACAAAACCTGTAATAATTTTAATAGATACAAAACAAAGTCTGAATCTGCTCAATTCTATATGTGATATGTGACTCGTTAGTTTTTGCCTTTGCGGCCTCTGCCTTCTTTTAAAACTATAGCTCCACCAGAATAGATTCTTGCGTCGAGTCACTTTATACGCAATGCGGATCTCTATTGCGATCCATTATCAACATTTTGGAGCAAATGTCTCGACCTATTCGTATTGACAATAATTTAATTCTATTTAATTTTATTCGCAGCCACTTGTCGAGAAAATGGTGAAAAAATATCACGTTTAACTTAGTTAATGTAAGCATGTATGATGACTCCGATGATCTTGTAACGTTAGCAAAGTATTTTAGAAATACTTCCTGACATTTTACTCGATGATTCATACGACATCATCACAG